CCTCGCGGCTCCGTCGGCCCGGCGGCGGCGGTTAGAGGCCGCGCCCTCGCGCAGGTGCACGTGCGCGCCATGGCCGAGTACCGGCCGCGGGAGGACCCCGCCATCCCCTGCGCGGACGCGGGGCTGCCCTTCCGGAAGGGGGACGTGCTGCAGGTCGTGGACCAGAGCGACGCCCTCTGGTGGCAGGCCCGGAGAGCCTCCGAGCCGGCGGCCTGCGCGGGGCTCATCCCCTCCGCTCACCTGCTGAGGAGGTAAGGGCCCGGCGGGGCGGGAAGGCAGAGGGGCCGCACGTCCCAGTGCCAAGCTATCGGCCGATCCGAGGCATTTTATTATTTATTTATTTGTTTACCGGTACTGGGACTCGAACTAGGAACCTTGCGCTTGCCAGGCAGGTGCTTGTGCCGCTGAGCTGAGCTCTATCCTGGCCCTACCTTAGGCATTTTAAATACTAAGGGGGCCAGGATAATCGTATCAGCTAGAAAAGAAAGAAAAGTATTTGATAATAAAACTTGAAAACGGCTGTGTCCCTACCATCCTTCGCGCACTGAAATCTAACCCCGAGGCAGTTGCACTCAGAGGTAGGGCCTTTGGAGGCGCTTAGGTCATGAAGACAGACCCTTAAGGAAATTAGATTCGTGCCTTGGAAAAGAGCCCCACGAAGGAGGCTGGTTTGCCCCTTCTACCATGTGAGGGCACAGCCAGACAGTGCCATCTGTGAAACTGAAAGTGCTCGCCAGACACCGGGTCAGCTGGTGCCTTGAGCTGGACTTCCCAGCCCCAGAACTGTGGGGAGTAATCTCTGCTGTTTATAAGCTACCAAATTTATGATATTGTGTTAGCACAGCCTGAACAGAGACCAAAAGGTAAGACTCTCCAGGCCAGGCTGAAACCCTAAGCCAAGTGCATGCTCCTGAGACTTGATGCGACCACCAAGAAGGGAGTGAAAATAGAAAGAAAGGAGTGTTCCGGGCTCAGCCACAGTTAGAAATCACGGAAATGAAAAGGAAACAGTGAAGGTCAGGCAGGAGTAGTTAGTGAAGCAGGCTTAAAAGTGTATGGTGTCCTGATCAACTGTATTGATTATTACTGACAGGGCTGAGAATTGGCCACTGGGTTTAGCAATCTGGAGTCACTGGTAATCTGCACATAAAGCAATTCCAGTTGGAGGCACGGGGCCTAAATCCTTATGAGACCAGTATTTGAGGAAACTGGTGACAATAAGTATGCAAAACTCTTAGGAACATTTCCGTATAAAGAAGAGCAACCAATGGAGAAATAGCTAGAGAGAAAAGCAGCATGACCTGACAGAATTTTTAGATGGGGTAAATAATGTTGTGGTAAAATCCAGTGAGAGGAAAAGTTTTATGATTCAGAAAGAAGAGAACTGCTATTGTTGATGTCCCAGTGCAGGCAGGACAAGGGCTTTTAGTCTGATTTAGGGTCACCAACAGTTCACCCACAGGAACAGGCAGAAGAGAGAAGGCAGGGGTGCAGGCAAGGTGAGGTGGGGCGTGGGGAAGTTCCTTTCCTAACCCCTTATTTTCTCAGTACGACAGGGAGCCACATCATAAGCTGAGAGTAGGGTAGGTAAGAACGTGTTGGGAAGCAAAGAGGAGACATGGTTACAGGTCAGCCACCTGGGTGCAGGCCAGGTTAGACAGGAGGTTGGGTTAGCAGCAAATTGAGAAAGGCCCAGGGGGTGGCAGGCCATGGCATTTAAACTGCTAAAGGGGAGAGGAGGAAGTGAAGCAGGTGAGGTCAGTGAGGACAAAGTAAGATCTTTATAGGTCTCTGTAGGACGACAGATTACTAGGTCTATAAAGACAGAAAGCGTTGGCGGGGAAGGGGTAACAGGAATGCAAGTGGGAGCAACTGCTGCCCTGGGCACTGAAAAGGGCTAGGGCACGACCGTGGGGCAGTGGCTGAGGTCCCCTAAGAGGCTAGGGTGTTAGAAGCAGTGTTTACACATTGAACAAAGTCACCAAGTTATGACCCAGCCAGGGTGACAGCCCAGGAGCCAGGAGTGATGGGGGACCTAGGGCATAGCGGCTGTGAGCAGGACAGACCCTGTGACACCTCTCCTCACCCACAGGCAGTGCTTTAGGGCCACAGCTGGTCAGCCGTGGTGAGCGCTGACCACAGAGACCAGCAAACCACGGCGTTCTTTTTTGCATAGGAAGCAACGAGAGTTCTGGTGGTCTCAGCCGTACCAGCCTCACACCTGCCTCAAACCATCCATATGTGAGTGTTCGGGGCCTCAGGCCCAACGTGGACGTTTGCAAACACTGTGCCCATTCCCAGCCTGCACCCCACCCAGGAGAGGTTCTCTAGGGGTCCCCTCCCAGCCGCCAGCCATGAAAATGCAAACGTTGGTGTGTTGGTGACACCGCAGGTCACTGCTCTGAGGTCCCTGCAGCTCCTGTGCACTGTGCTGGGACTGAAGAAAGGCCGCGCAGCTGTGCACAAACCTCCTGCGGGTTCTGCCAGCCTCGAGAGCTTTATCTGCACCCTGTTCAGAGGCCTGTGTGACAGTCCAGTGTGCCTCTGATGGTCAGACACGGGCAGGTCAGGCCTTGCTGGATGCTGTTCGATGGCTGGGCAGTGGTATTCCAGTGGTGGGTGGCTGCTAGTGTCCATGATGGCCGGTGGTTATGAGCGCCCTCCTGCCTTGGTGAAGGGTGCTGTGTGGTGGGTGCAGGGCTGAGCTGGGATGAGGACAGACAGGTAGGCTCCCTGCTGGTGCCAGCTGAGGGAAGGAGCCCTGGAAAAGGAGTTGAGCGGGGGACAGGGCCCTCGGGGCAGAGGGCACAGGGGACTGGAGTGCTGTGACACAGATGACGGTGCCACCATCACAGATCACCGTGGCACCCTGCACCCCTTGATTCTCCAAGCCAGAAACTATTTTCCTTTATTTTTGTCCTGAAAACATATAATGACAGCCACAAAGACAGTTCTGAAAGAAGAAAGCACTCTTGGGCAGTTCCTTCTTGGCAACATTACTTTCTTGTGTCTTCCAGTTGTGGGCTCAGAACTCAGAACTCAGCCAGAGCTACAACACTGCTTCAACTCTTTAACCCAGTATCATGTCAGGAGACTTTGGAAAAGTTTTTAAACAAATCTAGATCTAGAATCCTCTAACTCACGCTCCTATTTTATTTGTGAAAGACATGCAGAGACACTGAGTAGAGTTTCTGATCAGATCTGATGAGTGTGACCCCTGGTGGAGGTGTACTTGCTCATATAGTCTGTGTGAGACTGATCCTAGACCTTCTGGAGGTCCACGCTGAAAGCAGTTTGCACCACCCTACAGTGACCCTCACACACCCTTGAGTCCAGGAACCCGCGGCTGAGCCACTGATGTAAATGGCACCCTTACCAGGGATGTTTCTGGTGGATCTTGGTCGCTTTCTAAACTACCAGGTGGTTCCTTTTTAACTGTCAAAATGACACTGCCACATATCTTTCTGTGCATCTTTCCACTCTGCTTAAGTCTTACCAGAGGGGAAAACAGTCTCTGGGACAAGCTACTGAGGCAAGAGGTAGAGGAAATTTTATTAATAGAGTTTTAGAGGGCCTGGGGGTTTAGCTCAGTGGCATAGTGCCTGCCTGGCAAGCACAAGTTCGTGAGTTCGATTCCCAGTACTGGAGAAAAAAAAAAAAAAGTTTTGGAGAACTGGGGATGTAGTTTTGTCATAGAGCACTTGTCTGGCATAGCATGTGCAAGGCCCTGGGTTAAATCCCCACACTGAAAAAAAAGTTCTTCCATGTTAGTTTTCAGATTTTAGTAAAAAGCTATCTCCTGAAGACACACTTATTGTCATTCCTCTTTGTTTCTTTTACTTCCTCCTTCCCTCTCTTCCTTTCATTTGGGATTTGAGTTCCTAAAGAATGCTAAGTCAAGTGCATGAATTCAAAAATGAGCAGCATGCAGCCCTGATGGAGGGTAGCGGGGTGGATGTGGTAGGATTTGCCGGGCTTACAAACATATTCCTTTCTGTGGGGTAGTCACTGATTGTCGTGTTATTAATCTCCACTGACCCTAACCCTAACCCTAACAATACTAATCTCCACTGATTGAATACTAATTGCAATAACATCAGCACTTTGCTTTTCTCATTGTAAATTAATCTGGGAAATGAGAGCATCTATTCTTTTTTGTTGTTGCTTCCTGCTTCGATCATTTGTCTGTACCCAGCAATTTCTATGGAAGAAGGTAAGAACATTTTTAGAAAAAAACCCTCATCTCCAAAGTCTTCTAGAAATTTCCCCTGGCTTTAAAAATTCAGTTAGTTCACCTGCTCATTAAGTGCTTTCTGTGTAACCAGTAGTGCAACAGCACACGAAGTGTAACTGTCCTGACAGTGGGCAAAATCAAGCAGAGACAGGTGTATCTGTGCATGGCTCTAAAATCTAACATAGCCAAGGTACAAACTCAGATTGGTGAAGCTGATCAGGTGTTTTGCTTTAGCTGCTTTATGCACATCTAATAAAAATACCACTGTAAGGAAATCATTATTATTGTCATCTCAGATGATAAGACTGAGGTTCGGGAAAGGTAGACATGGGTCTCTGAAGGTGCAAACGAGGTAGGCTGGATTCAAGCTCCTGTCGGTCTGAAGGGGGTGAGTGGACCTTCGGATCCCTTCCCCTTTGCCATGGGCAGCCTTCCTGATGAGGCAGTGTGACATCACACACACACACAGGCACAGGCACTCCCCGGCCAGATGTCTGCATGCAGCAGGGAGAGAAGGAAGAGCAGTCCCGTTAGCCGCCACTCACATTTCACGAGCCAAATCAGGAAGCGAGACCTGAGCTGCAGAAGCACGTCTGAGAACCGATCTGCCCACATGGGCTCCACCTGTGTCCCCCAAGGTCAGGCACAGAGCATGACCCGGACAGGTGACGGCAGAAACAGGCCAGAGGGAGGTGAGAGGGCGTGTCACGGGCTGCAGACCGCTGTGGGGCAGCGGGAGGCAGATGCTCAGTGCACTGTCCTGGTTGGGTCCCACAACAGATGCCACAGGCTGGGCGGCCGGAGCAGCATTTATCTCAGTCATTCTGGAGGCTGGAGGCCTGAGGTCAAGGTGCCAGCAGGGTTGGCTTCTGCTGTGGCCTCTCATCCCGTCTTCTAGATACCTACCTTGTTACTCTGTGTTCGTGTGGCCTTTCTCAAGTGCATGGGAGGAGAGAGATCTTTAAGGTCTCACCCTCCTCTTACAAGGCTATGGTCCTAATGGATGAGGGGCCCAGCCCTGCAACTTTCTTCTGCCTTTGTCAGCTCTAAAAGGCGCTCTCTCTAAACATAGTCACGTTGGACATGAACGCTTCCACATGGGGCACAGTGCAGAGCAACTCGTGCCACAGCACCCCAGCCCCAGCACGTGGAGCTGTTGGTTTTGGGGAGCAAAGCCAGGCCCTACCCTGGACCCTGCGCCATGGGGCAGAAGAGGTGGGGATCCCCATGCTGTCACTGGAGCTGTGCTCCTGTTCTCTTACCTTCATCTGTGACACAGGAAGGACATCTGTCCTTTTTGTTCGCTTTAAAAAATGACTTTTGGTAAGGTGGGGTGAAGCAATGAGCACACTGTTGTAAGTGGCCAAACTAGAAAACAATCCCGACGCGTACAGGGATTAAGGGACAGGGTGAAGTCTCAGCTACGCCACTTGTCTCTCTGTGCCCCTGTTCCACGAGCTACTTAGGAGAAATAAGTTTTCTACGTGAAGTAGCAGTGTGCTCTTACAGTGTTATTTCTTAACATTTATCATATTTTACATCTCATCTAAAAACGTTAATGGCCAGGTGTGCACATCCCAGCTCTCAGGAGGCTGAGGCAGGAGGATTCAATCCTCAGTACCATGAAAAAAAAAAAACCAAACAAACAAAGGTGAAAGAAAAGGAAAGGAAACGAGAAAAGGACATGTTAAGCTATTCTGACACATTAAGCTATCTACATTCACGAGGCAAGGCAGCACATGCCTGTAACCCTAGCTACTCAGGAAGCTGAGGGAGGTGTTACAGGCTCAGAGGAAGAATCATGGGTCAGCTGTGTATTATCTGAGATGTAAGATGTGAGAGAAAAGTGGCTCTTCCAAGAGGCCTTCAGGTTCGTGGAGTGCTGTGAGGGTCAGGATGAATAGCATTCTCTTATTCCCTTGCACACACCTCAGGTTGGGGAGAAGCTGGTGTTTATTGAGCCCTTACCACATGCCTGAGTTTTCCCTGCACCCTCTGTGTAAAGCCCATCTTGTGCGGTAGGTTTGATCACATCCCACTGACAGATGGACAGCAGAGGCCCACAGGTAACCCATCTGTCTGCACTGAAAAGTGTTTTGTGATATCACGTCCCGTTTCATGTGTTGTCATCTAACACAGCAGCAAACACTTCACTGCCCCAAGACAGCATAGTTCTGAGAGTACTATCACATGGTGGTCTGAAGTGGTTGGCATCAGCCCTACACAGCTGGAGATCTAAGTCCCCCTTCCTGTGCTGTTTTGTAGACGATTACATGAAGATTGATGAGAAGTGTGTGGAAGCAGGTACTCTTCCTTCTTGATTGATGCTCAGCCCGGAGAAAGGAAAGTGCCTCAGTTACGTGTGACCCAGGCCCTCTGGGAGAGAGGGACCAGGCCACACCACCCATTTCCTGTGGCTCCCTGCGCCTTGGAAGGCGCTGCTGTCCCACCCTGCAGAGCCCTCGCTGGCGACACCCAGTATCCCGCCAAGGGCACCGCAGCCAGAGCTCTGTGAACAGCGTAAAATGGTGTGAGGCCAAGAGTTTAAAAAGCAATGTGTATATATTTTTTTATTTTAAAGTTTGATACCATCAGAAGATTCTAGTGTGGATAGAGCATTCCAAATTTTTGAGAACTGTATAAAAGCTTTAAAAATTTCTATATTTAAGGTTTTTTTTTTTTTTTAAAAGAAGATCTTTGAAAAGGTTTTTTCAAATTTAGTGGTGGTACTAAAATGACTCAGGAATTTTTTAGAGAACTAGTTGGACATTAACCTGAGGGGTTCATTTGTCTTGGTTTTGTACTGTCTCTGGCTTTAGGAATGAAAGAACTATTGGAATGAGCCGCATGCAGTTCCCAAAACAACCACAGAACCCTTGTACTACTCTACCCTACCAAGCGCACATACTGGTTTTTAAACTACATAATATGCACTTCATTTCTAAAACTTAATTAAAACTCTATTAAGTAATCCACTTACATAGTTTAAAATTCAAAGGGCTAGGGATATAGCTCAGCAGCACAGCACCTGCCTGGCAAGCGCAAGGTCCTGAGTTTGATTCCTGATACAAATAAATACATACATACATAACTAACTAACTAACTAAATATTCAAAACCTAGAAAAGCATATTCAATAAGAAGTTCCTCTCTGTCCTTTTCCTTTCTCGAGCTTGTGGGTGGTTGAGCCCTCCAGGTGAGCCTTGTTCTCCACCCCGTCCCTACTTGCACGGCCCGAAGGCGTCTCATTCTCTTGTGCACACTGCCTTGCACCTGCACTTTTAATTCCTGTACTTTGAAGATGCTTCTGTGTTAATAAAGAGCCTTTCTTCACCTTTTAACAGTTTACTGTACGCAAATTACTTTTTTATTTTATTTTATTTTTTGTCTTTTTGAGACAGGGTCTCCCTATGCAGTTCAGGCTTTGAGTTCACTTTGTAGCCCAGGCTGGTCTCAAATTCACAATGATCCTCCTGCCTCAGCCTCCCAAGTGCTGGAATTAAAGGCGTGTACCACCATGCCTGGTGTGCAAATTACTTTTTTGTAGAGATCTGGTATTTTCCACTATGAGTGGTATTACAATGAACTGCTTTGTAAGTGTGTCATTTCACACACACGTGGTCTACCTCAGATGTAGGGTTGCCTGACCCAAGGTGCGTGCACAGTGATTTTGCTGCATATTTCAAATTGACCCCATATAAATCGTAGCTTCTTAATCCATCTCTTTTTTTGTCCATCTCTTTTTAAAATGCCAGCAGCAGTCCTCTTAACAGACACTGGAGCTGGTTTATGTCTTATTTTCCTCATGCACTTCGACAAACCCAAGCCACCAAGGCTGTCCTCAGCCCCTCAGGGCCCTGTGCCACTGGCCAGACTTCGTTGGACATCTGACTTTTCCCTCCGAGCTGCTTTAAAATTTTTGTTTATTTTCTTCTCTCCTATTATTTTATTTATTATTTTGAGCTCTTGTTACATGCTGTCGTCATGCCTACTCGACCTTGTGCTAAGAAACACACTTTAAGGTTGTATGTGGCAGAAGCATAGGCCAGCAGTTAGGCTGCTAAGATGTAGGTAGACTCAGCGAGGAACAAAATGACATTCTTGTTTTTTGCTTCCATGAAAAACCATAGATGAAGAAACATTTGAATCTGGTAAGTAAAACATGAATACTGTATTTGGTGCTGCTTTTTAAATGTATATGTCATATTTTGCTATAATGTAAACATATTTAAAGATATGATATAATAATTGGATGCAACAGTGAAGTAAAATAATAAAAATAAACGAGGTGACAGATATGTTAATTTGCTTCATATAGTAACTATGTCATATCTCCATATACTCTGTAACATAGATTGCAAACCTCAAATACACATAATAAAATTTATTATAAAAATCTCTGGGCATCTGAGGCAGAAGGATTGCTGAGATTTTGAGGCTATGCTACATAGCAAGACCTTGTCTCAAAAAAAAAAAAAAATCACCAGGCAGGTGGTACACCCTTATGATCCTAGCACTTGGGAGGCTGAGGCAGGAGGATCATTGTGAGTTTGAGGCCAGCCTGGGCTATATAGTGAGCTCAAGGCCAGCCTAAACTGCATAGGGAGACTCTGTCTCAAAAAAAAAAAAAAAAAAAAAAAATCAGTAAAGAGTGTGGTTGTGAGATAGAGTAAGTTTCACAGTGCTGTCCGCCATGGGGCATTCTGAGCTCTGTGTGGGGCAGGTTTTGCCTGTCTTGTAGAGTGGGCATCTCCAGTAGTTCAGTCACCTGCAGCGTATGGGACCTGCTTGGTGGCAACTGTCTCCACACACATCTTCCTGCTGGGCAAGCCCAACACGGGTGGATGGCAGCTCTTCTGTGCCCAGCACTGGGGCCATGGAGTCCTCAGGCCCGCTGTGCGGTGGTGGCGTGGAGGCAGCCAGACCTCTGGAGGGGGGGTATGGACAGACGTCACCTCGCAGCCTGGATGCTTGTTCGCCCTGGGCACTCTGTCTCCTCCCAGGGACAGTAGCTAAGGTGGAAGCGCAGCATCTGTACTGAAGCGGCTCACTTTTTCTTCAAGACACTTTTGTCACTGATGCCACCTCATAGGGGTCAAGTCTGCCCCGAAGGGTAAGACTGGTATCGCTAATGACAAAGCAGGCCCACGGGGTGTTTCTGAGAACTGTCAGCGTGGGCACTGTGCTCAGGACTTGCCTGGCTCCAGTTGGCTGGATGCCCCAGCTGTCCCATTTCTTTGGTCTACGCTGCCTTGGCAGACTGACCGCACTTCAGGGAAGGCAGTTTCCCTCTGTACTGTAACCTGTAATCTGGCTGTTGCCCCTCAGCAGAGCACCTTATCTGTGCCCACTTCTGTGTAGCTTTTCTTTGTCCTGCCCACCTCTCACTTGTAGGTCCACACCACTTCCTGTCTGTAGAGAAGTCATGCCCAAGGATTTATATTTCAGTGTGTAGACATGTATAGGATGCGACTGCCTATTTCTTTCCTTTATATTACAGAGCATTACGCTGATTTCAGAGTCACGTGTGCAGTGGATCACACTGTATGAATTTCGCAAGAGTAGAAAGATGGTTACACATATTAGTTATGAAAAGGTGGCAGTGAGAGGGGCAAAGCTGGTAACCGCTCGCTTCGTGAACTCTCAGGGTTATGTTGACGCTAAACTCCTGCCTCCCATGAGATGGTTGGTCTGTCAGGGATCGTGTAAGCTTTATACTTGGCTCGATGTCTGGGGGTGGTCTCACTTTTAGTCCCCTACATTATACACATCCTTTGTTCTCTTCAACTCAGTGCTGAACCTAAGGCCCAGGCTGAGGCCCTGGAGGGCAGTGGGCACAGTGGGGTGCCCTGCACTCAGACCTACTCCAGGTGTGAGTCCTCGGCCTCTACCCTTCAGGCCAAGTCTCTACAGTGGGAGGATTCTGTCCACAAGGAAAGTGCCTAGCACCGTGCCCAGCACACAGCAGGTGCGCAGGGCCTCGCCTGTGGCACTGTCTGGAAGCCTGTCCTTCACATGACCAGCCCTCAAGGGCACCAGCAGTGCCCTCGTCCTCTGGAGCCCCTCAGAGAGGAGCCTCACAGCAGCTGGGGCCCATTAAGTGAGGAAGGAGCAGTTAGCGCCTGGCTGGCAGGTGCTGAGGAGACACCCAGTGGCATTCACCCTGGTGCTTTTTCCTGTTGCTAAGACCCCTGAGCACAGCTAAGACCTTCCTTTCCGTCTCTGCCCGGAGTGAGGTACAATGTGACATCCTGGAGTGTCTCCAAGGGCTGGCAGCCTCCTTGCAAGGGTAAGAGGCCTATTAGAAAGTCCAAGGCTGGGGTGCCGCTCAGTGATAGGCCCCAGGTTCCGCCCACAGCACCACAAAAAGTAGAAAATGAAAATAAAAGATTTAAAATGTAAAACCCAGAAGACTGGAGATTTAGCTCAGCGACATAGTGCCTGCCTGGCAAGCGCAAAGTCGTGAGTTCGATTCCTGGTCCTGAAAAAAAAAAAAAAAAAAAATGTAAAACCCAGAAGATGAAGCTGTTTCAAAATGTCTAGAAACCAACAAACCCAGTTTGCTTGAATTTAGGTCCTCCAGTCAAGGGCCTGTGGCCTCCTCCACACCTGTGCCAGCATGGCCTCTGGGAGAAGGGCAAGACGGCTCAGAACCTGGCCTTCCTAGAATCTCTTTTTTTATGTCCTTTTATTTGTCTTTTTATTATTATTTACAGTGCTAGTGACTGAACCTAGGGCCTTTTCACTGAGCTCCATCCTCAACCCCTTTTTATTTTTTATTTTGAGACACTTGCAATTTACAATCCTCCTGCTTCAGCCTCCTGGGATTATAGGATTGCACACCCACACCAGCTTCAAGTCCCATTTTATGCCAACCAGTAGCGACTTCGAGGATAAAAGGCCTCAAGGAGGGTCTTATAGGTGATGGCAGGAGAAGCTGGTGTCCCGGCAGCAGTGTGAGGACAGATGGGCCTCAGAGCCCTGGCTGTGCTGTCTGGCCGCCTTGCCAGGCCTTACTGAGTTAGTTTTTGCTATGTGACAGATGTGTGCTCACGTCGTTTGCTTTGTTTGGTAGCTGCCTTGATCGTCTCATAGGCTTAACTTTTTCACATCTCTTTCTGCACTCCATGCGTCCAGAGGAACTTTCAGAAGGTAACTGCTTGTTTCTTTCCTGAGCACCCATACAGAGCTGTGTGCAAGGTCTTGGGGTGCCACACAATGAATACTTGACAGGATGATTTTTAATATGAAAAGATGATACTTTAAGGGTCAAATCAATGATTAAATATTTGATTTCATGAAGCCAGGCTTGGTGGCCCAGGCCTGTAATCCCAGCACTGGGGAGGCTGTGGCAGGAGGATCACTGGGAGTTCAAGGCCAGCCTGGGCTACAAAGTGAGCTCAAGTATAGCCTGAACTGCATAGCAAGACCCTGTCTCAAAAAGACCACAATAAATAAATAAATACATAAATATTTTATGAAAATATTTTAAAATGAATGATGAAACTAATTAAGCTATATGAATCTATCAAATTTCCTTTCAAACTTGTTGACATAGTCAGAAAAATGTGTTTGCTGGATGTGGTGGTGCACACCTGTAATCTCGGCACTTAGGAGGCTGAGGCAAGAGAATCACTGTGAGTTTGAGGCCAGTCTGGGTTACATAGTGTGTTGAAGGCCAGTCTGAACTGTACAGTGAAACCCTGTCTCAAAAAAACAAAAGAACAAAAAAATAAAAGAAAAATGTGCTTACTTATCAGAACAAGGAACTAATATTGGAGTGTTTTCTTTGTATTTTAAAAGGCATATTTTGGGGGGCTGGGGATTTAGCTCAGCGGCAAAGCGCCTGCCTGGCGAGCGCGAGGTTGTGAGTTCGGTTCCCGGTACCGGAGAAAAAACCAAAAAAACCCAAAAAAAAACCAAAAAAAAGGCATATTTTTTTTAAAAGGTTGAGCAAAGAAGGTGGTATAGATCAGTTCATGCTATAAACAAATGCTCCTTGTATATTATTGCAATGATCAGAAGAGTTGCATAAATAACAAGGAACTTAAGAATAAAGTAATTTGAAAATGACATTTTCATAATATTTTTTTCTGGCATTGATAATAATTATTTGGACACCCAGCAGCAGCAGAAACAAGAGTCAGGACTAGCTTACAGGTGCCCGCAGCTTTCTTCACTCTGTTTCACATGTTCCTGGCCAGTCAGCAGCAACTGGCCACCACTGGGCGAGTGCCTGTTTTACAGTAGAGTAAACCATTGTTTAAGGGAGAAAATAAACTCTCGTATCTAGCAAAGAGATTTCTTATAGGATCTGCAAGTAGAAGCCAAGGCAAATTATTTCTTGTTTTTTAAAATTAGCTTTTTAAGGATATGCTTACAAAGGTGTACCCTGTGTCTGTAGATTTTCCCTACGATTCAGTATCTTTCTTATAACATGAAACAAGGCTGAGGTGGCGTTCTGTTCTGTCTCACTAGACTGAAGACATCACTATGACACTTAGGCCAGCAAGAGTCTCTTGTAGTTTGTGTGGGGATACTGGGTGGCTAGGCTGAGACCAACCTTAAGCCACTCAGGCAGCCTGGTGTCTGCCACCCTGAGACCACCTCAGCTGAAAACTGGAGCCACCTTGCATGTCGATTCTCAGTAATCTTCTCCTGGCCCTCACACAGTCTGTTCCCGCCTTTCTCTGTTCCAGACAAGGAGGAATTCGTGGGCTACGGGCAGAAGTTCTTTCTTGGTAGGTGGTGAAGTGAGAGCGGGGTCCATGTCAGTCTTCAGTGAGGGCCACACCTGCCGGAGACTGTTTGCTGGTGTCCTTTCCAAACCTGTTGCATGCCTGGTTCCATCCACTGTTTTGTCAGGAACCTGACCGATGGGATTACTTGTCATCGTTCATCTAATTTCACTGGGGGTCTCCTTGTTATTTGTCGAACACTAACCTTTTCATTTCCTCCCAGACTGTTCCCTGATCTGCTTATCTTGCTCTAAAGGCATTTTCGGAGCTGCGTTTCTCTACCCTGTCACCTGGCCAGGGCTTTCTGAAGAGCCAGGCCTGTCACTGAGAACCACTCTGGCTGCCTCTTTCACAAGGCAGGGAGAAGCAAGGTGCACCCTGGGAACTGGAAGGCCGGCCCTGCAGCCTGGGTGCATTTGGTGACCTTCACAGGGATCACCCCTGCGCCTGTCAGTCACCGGGCCCGCCTTCCTCTCCAGCACCCGAGGCTTCGCGGCTTCTCGGCCAACCCACGGCACCGCTGTGGCCCCAGCCACCTGGCAGCTCCTTCCTCCACAGCCCATTGTTGATGCCTGCAGCCGCCAGGCTCCCTTGCCCACCCTCAGGTCACCAGCAGGGTCCTCCCTCTGCCCCTAGCGCCCTGGCCCCTCGGCCTGGCCTGCTCGCCTCCAGTCTTCCTCAGCTGCGCCCGCTCACCTGACCTGCCCACCCAGAAGAGCACTGTCCGTCACTCCCTCTTGCAGGCCCCGGCTGGTGGCGGTTGTTCTTAGGTCTCCTCTGTGAGTTGTGAACTCGGGAGAGGATGGGTTTGGACTAGCTGGCACCACACCGCAGTGCCTAGTGCAGCGCCTGGCACAGGGGACGCTGGAACCAGCGAGAACACATAGGTGTTTCTCCTCCACCACCCTCATCTTCAGCCTCAGACAGACACAGCTGCAGCGGAGCCCCCTGAGTGCCCCCCCGCCAGCCAGGGTGCCTCTTCCCTGCCCTGGTCTCACGTCCTGTGGTTTCCTCCCTGCCCAGCCGGCTTCCGCCGCAGCCTGCGCCTCTGTCGCAGGAAGTCGCACCGTGGCCAGCTGTGGGCCAGCCTACGTGGCACGGGCACTGGCGGCTGCTGCACGGCCGTGGGGACTCCGTATGAGGAGGTGGCCAGGTACCAGCGCCACCCGGCAGACAGGCACCGCCTGGTTGTGCTCGTAGGTACGTTGGAGCCATCCCTCTCCTGGGAGTTTGCCCTAAGCTGAGGTCCTGCGCTGGAAGCAGTAGTAAAAATGGAATTCTTCAGGGACCTCCTTATCCACATCATTTTTAAAAAGCCCATTTCACATATGTGTTTATATATAATTTTTTATTGTAGCAAGCTTTAAAAAGATTTTATTCGATAGCTGAATGTGGTATGCCATGGTGTCTATAAATGTATGTAAGAAAAAGGTTACAATGGAGGGTTTTTTTTTTTTTTTTTTTTTTGCCTGTTTAGAATTTGTTCTATAAGCATAGCTGCTGTAACCTCAAGATGGGGTCACTGCCGGGTATGCTGGCACACGCCTGTAATCCCAGCACTCGGGAGGCTGAGGCAGGAGGATCATTGTGAATTTGAGGCCAGCCTGGGCTACAAAGTAAACTCAAGGCCAACCTGAGCTGCACAGTGAGACCCTGCCCCAAAAAGACAAAAAGAAAAAAAAGATTGGGTCATTAATCTGTATTAGTAAAACAAATTCTTAATAGCCCATTCTCTTAAAAACCAGGCTTGGTAGTGCATACCTATAATCCCAGTCCTTGGGAGGCTAAGAGAGGAGGATCACTACAAGTTTGAGGCCAGCCTGGACTACACAGTGGGTTCAAGGCCAGTCTGAATTACATAATGAGACCCTGGCTCTCAAACAAACAAATATCCTGTAGCAAAGAGTCTACATCTTTTGTACTGTATCTTCGATGCTACAAATCGGGCAAATGTTGAGCCAAGCGAGCTGCTCTTGTGCTCACACTGTCTGCACAGCTGTCCCAGCAGCAGTGGAAACTTGCCTCTTGCTTCCAGCCCCACTGACAGCAGGGCGGCCCTGAGAGCAAGGCTGCGTGCCCGCAGGCAGGACGGGCCTCATCACTGGTGGGGCCTGGTGCAAAGTGGAGACACAGCCCTTTGTGCAGGAACCACTCAGGACTCCAAGTGCAGCAGCAGCGCACGTGTGCTTGGCACCCTCCCATGCATGGCCCAGGGGCTGCACATGATGTCAGCTCTGCTCCAGCTGGAAAAGCAAGTGCTGCCTCCCCCCGCCGTCAGAAAGACGGCCCTGAGTCCTGGAAGTCACAGGTTCCATGGTCACCACGGCTGATTTCTGGTTGGGATTCAATAGCAACTTCATTTGAAATAGAAACACAGTATCTTGGGTTATCAGGATGGAGACCAGCAGGTTCTCCTCACATCCAGCATTACATCAGAGTGCTGGTTGTCAGTTCCTGCAATCCCTCCCTCATCTCCCACCAGTGAAGCAGTGTGGGTTACTCCCCAGGCCAACAGGAAGGTTTGCAAGAGTTTTGTGGGGTTGTTCCATAATTTCCCTAAAAACATTTGCTCCAGTTTCTGCAATAGAATGACTGAAACAATTTCACCACAGATTGATCCACATCTAATGACTCTGAATGTGGCTTTTGTGCTTAGGGCCTTCTGGTGTTGGAGTCAATGAACTGAGAAGACGACTTATTGAATTTAACCCCAGCCATTTTCAAAGTGCTGTGCCACGTATGTTCCATGTTTCTCCTTTAGTAGTAGTAAAACTTTACCTCTTCAAAGGGCTGATCTCACTGAGCCATGCCATGTTTGTCATAAAAGTGTAGGGCATAAGGGATGTCCTGAAGTACTTCCAACCGCATTGATTGTAATCAAGAGAAATGATTTCTGGTACGTAGTCGGCAAGGCCTTTTAAAGGTAACTGTGTTTTCTCCATTTCTAACAATCATGCAAGTGCCCTTTCAGGGTCCCTAATACTCAGCAACAAGCCAACGCTCATTCCGTACTTAGGGTCCTCCTAGCACTGTGCTTGGCTCTTGACTCAGATTAGTTTTTTTTTTTTCCTAAAAATTTTAGTATTTGCATACCTAGCTTTATATAAAGTTTTAGTATGATCTTACCATACATGGTGGTTTTCTTTTCTTTTTTTTTTTTTTTTTTTGGTTTTTCTCCGGTACCGGGAACCGAACTCACGACCTTGCGCTTGCCAGGCAGGCGCTTTTGCCGCTGAGCTAAATCCCCAGCCCCACATGGTGGTTTTCTTATTTCCTGTTACCCAGAGCTCCTTTATTTCACCACTACCACCAACTCCTAAGATGTAACCTTTCAGATTTTTCTCTGGGATCACTTTTCTTAGAGTTGTGTCTGCTTTTTAAATTTTAAAACATTTCAGGCCAGGTGTGGTGGCGCATACCTGTAATCCCAGCACTAGGGAGGCTGCAGCTGGAGGATCGCTGTGAGTTCAAGTCCAGCCTGAACTACATAGCGAGACCCTGTCTCAAAAAAAAAAAAAAAAAAAAAAAAAAAAAAATTAAGAGCTGTAATTCTAAAAATGTAATGTATTACTGTTTCTTTTTCTGGTCTTTTTGAGACTGGGTCTCACTATGCAGTCAGGCCAGCCTTGAGCTCACTTTGTAGACCAGGATGGTCTCGAACTCACAAGGATCCTCCTGCCTCAGCCTCCTGAGTGCTGGGATTACAGATGTGTGGCACCACACCCAGCCATATTATTGTTTTATAGTAGGAATCATACTTTCAAAACAACTCTAAAAGTCAGTCTAAGAAAACCTATTTCACTGTGAAAATAGAAAACAAAAAGACGAGATAAAACTTTTGATTTCAATAATACAGAAATAATTCATAGTCTCTAATACACGGGAAGGGGGGTAAAGTTTTGACGACATACGAAGGTGACTGGGAAGGGGGGTTACTAAAGATTGAACCCAGGGCTTTTCTACGGGGCTACGTTCCTAACCCTTTTTACATCTTTTATTTTTTATTTTGAGAAAAGGTCTTGGCTAAGTCACTAAGTTGCCCATGCTGCTCAGCCTCCCAGAGCCCAGTGATCACAGGTATGCGCTACCACGCTCAGGTGAAACACAACGCTTTGAGTGAGGAGTGCGGAAATCGGTTAGAACCCTCACACACACCAGGGGTATGAGAGGGTTGGAAAGGAGCTGGGTGTGGTGGCACATACCTGTAGTTCCAGTACTAGGAGGCTGAGGCAGGAGCATCTCCCTGCAAGTTCATGGCCAGCCTGAATTACAGAAACAAATATCTGTCTCCAAAACAAAACAAAAAGATACCTCAGATTATGCAGCAAGTCAAAGACTTTAACCTTATAAAATTTCAGTCCAACAGAAACAAAGGAGGAGTCATCTTAGTTTGAGATTAACACAATTCAGTGTCCCTTGAGAGCTTTAGGCTTTTACTGTATTTTTTTGTTTTCAGTGGGAGGCTGTGTAGGAACTCTAAGGATGTGAGGACTGAATAAAGAAAAAACAAAAATTACCCCAAGATGACACTTGTTTTTTGAGTCCCTTGTGGATCTGTAATTCCTTTGATATTTTAAGGGTTATTTCTAGGCTTCCTGGGGTTGGCACATAATCCACGGGCACTTCTTCCTGGGTAACAGCAGGTGTTCCTGGGGTGCAACCTAATATGTTCTTTTCCACAACACGAACTTTCAATGAAGGTTGACAGATTAACTGATTTTTTGAACACTTGTACTTTCTTACCACCAATTTTGGTTTTGCTTTTTTGGTTCTAGCATTTTAGTTACCTATCTGATCGTGTGTTCTTTTATTTATTTTTATTGGATGCTTTATATGAATATAACTGGAAATAAAAACATTCTGAAGATTCTGAAATCTTTAACCCCCTTTTAATAGACACCACTCGTTCCCCAAAAAGCTACGAGATGAACGGGCGTGAGTATCACTATGTGTCCAAGGAAACATTTGAAAGCCTCATCTACAGTCACAGGTAAGGTCACAGGTAATTCTTGCTGCTGGGCGTTTGACATTCATAACAGATGCTCTATTTTTATGCATTGTGCAAAGCTCCTGGGGAAACTTCTCTCATTTCTGAAGAGCTAAGCAAGGACATGTGCGCTGAGGAACTAACACAGCAGCTCACCAGGTTTAGAGGGGCAGGCGTGTATGCTGCTGAGCTACCTCCCCAGCTCTCACCGGGTTTAGAAAGGAACAGAACTGGATTGCAAATTTCAGAGAACTTGAGGAAATAGAGAAGTCATAGGTCTCCAATATTTTTTTCTCCTGCTGAATATTAACTCGTTTCTAGAGAAGTCTATATATTTACATTCCATCCTACTGGCATTTATCTTCAAACTACTACCAGTATTTACTGTAGAAGCAGTTTTTGTCTGTCCTTTGTCCTGTGCCGGCAGGATGCTGGAATGTGGCGAGTACAAAGGCCACCTGTACGGCACCAGCGTGGATGCTGTTCACACGGTTCTTGATGAGGGAAAGATCTGTGTCCTGGACTTAGAGCCTCAGGTGGGTCTGCGATGGAGTATCTTCCATCTGTCCCCAAAGAGCTGAATGCACTGTGCACATGTTGTAGGTTAGGGTTGAAGCGTTTTATGTTAGCCTTTTAAGAATAAGACAGCTTCTCTTGTCTATAAATCAGGTTGACTCTTGGGAGCATCAATTGCTGACATCATTGTGTTTTCAATTGGGGTAGAAGCCTTGCTTTTCAGACACAAAAAATGAACTGAGTGGGTGGCCATTAAGAAAAAGTAGGAGCCAGGCATGGTGGTGCATGCCTGTAATCTCAGCACTTGGGAGGCTGAGGCAGGAGGATCATTGCGAGTTCAAGGCTAGCCTGATCTGCATAGTGGGACCATGTCTCAAAAAGACAGAAAAAAAACAAAACAAAACAAAAAAATAGGATCTTTCTTGAGTTGACCTTGATTACAAATGCATCAGGGTAGCTTCTTGGGGAGGGACTAGGAAGTGGGCTCACACAGGAGGTGAGCTTCCTATGTGTCACATCTGTGCTGCTTCCCTGTGACCTCCCTTAAGTGGGACCTGCAGGGGTGAGCAAGTCAAGGGAAGGTCAAGAGAATGCCGTGTGAGGCCCGGTTTGCATCATCCTTGTATTTCTCTTTGTCAGTTAAAAATATACTATGTGTGCGATAGGAAGAGAGGCTTTTCCTTCACTCAGTCAAAGCCAGTGGTCACACAAAGCTAGCCGTAGGATCCACCTGAGGGGCAGCGGCAGGAAATGGAAGAGAGGGTGAAACAGCTATTTGAGTGTCTGTGTTTGTCATATGAGAGCCTCCATCAGTAAGGAAGAACTTAATCAGCAAGATTTCAATAGCTAGCTATAACTAGAAAGTAGAGCAAAGACTTGAGCTTAATTTTGATCTAGAATCCTATCTTTTGTTAAAAGAATTCGGTTTTAGAATGGAGTGATTGGGAGTATATGACATTATAGCTAAAATAACTGCTAATTTTAAGGCCTTAGAAATTTTGAGAACATTCATTACTGACTAAAGAAATGTAGGACTTGTTTTTTAATATGCACTTAATTTTTCTATGTAGGATATTCAAGTGGCTCGAACCAGTGAACTGAAGCCCTATGTTATATTTATAAAGCCATCTAGCATGAGTTCTATGAAACAGTCCCGGAAAAATGCCAGGATTATTACCGACTACTTTGTGGACATGAAGCTCCAGGTAGATCAAGTTCAAGTCACCGCGTGGTTATCAGTGGCAGTGAGGCCAGGGAGCATGGGGGACTGGCACAGAACCTCAGGTCTCAGCCCTCCCCACCTCTTCTTGGACCTGCTCTCTAGAAGCCCCTCCATGAAATCTTTTAAGAATCCACAGTCTTGCTTCCACAGGATCCCTACATTAAAGCTTTATTAACAATGATGGTATTTTTTGTTTATAATGAGTAATGTCTGATCCTTCGGTTCCTGAGCGATGACTGGGTGTTCATGCCATCTGCATCAGATGTGCCTCCCTCAAACCTTGTTACGACGTCGGCACAGTACCAGTCTGATGTGAGAAAAAAAAAAGTAATGTCTTTATGATTTACCCTTTAACTGGACATCACTTACTGATTTTAAAATAAAGTTTAATGAATGCTATGGTGCTTATTTTTCTTATTTTTGGGGCAGAGGTCTTTTAAAAAAATTCTCAAGCCAGTTTGCAAAACTAAACAAGAATCAGGTGTATACAAGCCTAACCACTATTTAAAAATATACTATGTGTACTTGTCTATTTGAACAAATTATTTATTTTTAGTTTAACTTTTTTATTTTTACTTTACTTTACCTTACTTTACTTTACTTTTACTTTACCTATTTTTGGGTTGTTTTGTTTTGTTTGAGACAGGGTCTTGCTATGTATTCAACTATGTAGTCTAGGCTGGCCTCAAACTGGCAAAGATTCTCGTGGCTCAGCTTCCCAAGTGCTGGGATTACAGGTGTGTGAACATTTATTTTAAAAAATGCTCTGATGAGTATATCTCATCTGTAATATGAGGTATGTTGCAAAAATGTTTATTAACAACGATGGTAGTAATAGCCAAACTAGGTTGGATCAATCAGTGAACTTGTTCTAGAATAGGTGATTTTGTGCAAGGTCCAGAGTTTGATTCCTGATGCCAAAAAAAAAAAAAAAAAAACAGACTAGGTGATTTTTTTTCTAATTATTTTGCCCCATTAAATCCACTTTAGATATTTTGAGCCATACCATGTGATTCAGTAAAGGTGTACAAATCTTAAGTATACAACTCAATGGATTTTTACACGAGTGCACCCAGATCAAACTATTGTAGCTACTTATTTGTGTATGTGTTATTGGGAGGAAAGTGTTAAACATGTAATAGAAAAGCTACCTTCGTGAGCTGGGCATGGTGGCACATGCCTGTAATCCCAGCACCTGGGAGGCTGAGGCAGGAGGATAGTCATGTGTTTGAGGCCAGCCTGGGCTACAAAGTGAGCTCAAAACCAGCTTGAACTGTACAGTGAGATCCTGTCTCAAAAAGACAAAAAAAAAAAAGCTATTTTTGTAACCATTTTTCAGTAGTGTTAAATCTATCTACCTATCTATCTATATTCTGAATTCAACTTGCAAAACTGAATTAAAAATAAGGTTGCCTCACAGGTATTGCACATCATCCTTGCATAGGGGTGATTGCCCTTGCTAATGTCCATACTGTTCCACTTTCAGTGCGTATATATGCTGCTAAAGCATGTGTCTTATATTGTCCTTTGTCTTTTCCTATTTTTATCATCTTGCTTTTCAATGACTCTGAAAGTCTGATTCTCCAGCTTGCATTTGGAACAGTGGAGCTAATGTATTCTGAGTCCTCAGGGCATTTAAAATTGTGTTCTCATTTTTTGTGGCAGTCTAAACAAGTCAACAAACTGTTTCTGGATCATGTCTTGTAAAGGAGTAATGCCACTGGATTGCAGTGCCTGCATGTATTTGCACATAAAAGTGTACTGAGAACAAGTTATGATGTTTCTATTGTCATGGACAGAAAGAAAATAACAGCTTTGAATTTAATGCATTAGTGACAAGTGAAGCCAACAATCAACATAAATAATATTCCAGCACTCTGAAGGCTGAGGGAGGATCACCACAGGTTTGAGGCCAGCCTGGGCTGTTCAAGCCCAGCCTGAACATAATGAGACCCTGTCTCAAAAAAGCAAGCAAACACACAGACAAAAAAGAAGAAAAAAAAAAAAAATAGGTGATACTTTAGGTAAATAAAATTACCATAAATCACAGAGTAATTTAGGTATAATTCAAAAGCACAAGGTCTACACTCCTCCTGAAAACTGGCTATTTTGTGTTGCAAAATGATATCATTTGTATCAGATTAATGGTCATTTAACTCTTATGTAAGAGTCCCGGGGCCTGGTAATCCCAGCACTTGGGAGGATGAGGCAGGAGGATTGTTGCAAGTTTAAGACCAGCCTGGGCTACAAAGTGAGCTCAAGGCCAGCCTGAACTGCAACAGCGCGACCCTGTCTCCAAAAAAAAAAAAAAAAAAAAAAAAAAAGAAAAGAAAAAAGAAAAGAAAGAAAAAAAAGGTCTTATGTAAGAGTAATTTTCTATTTTTATGGTTTGAAAGCCTCAAGTGTGTAGACAGTGGGGTGAAATAACAATGTGAGAAGTGAGGGGATAATCTGTCTACAAAGTATTACTATATTTTGTAGTTTATTTGACCTCATTGTTCTAATAAATAGTTCAACTGAATGTGACAGTATAACAAGTTATGTATTATTTGTTTGTCTCATTAAGTCTGTGCTGTGCATTCTCTATTTTTCCCAAAGGATGAAGACCTACAAGAGATGGAAGAATTAGCCCAGAAGATGGAAACTCAGTTTGGCCAATTTTTCGATCATGTGATTGTGAATGACAGTTTCCAAGATGCATGTGCCCAACTGTTGTCTGCCATACAGAGGGCTCAGGAGGACCCTCAGTGGGTACCAGCAACATGGATTTCCTCTGATACCGAGGCTTAATCGGGCGTCTTGCTTCAAACTGGAATTTTAGCACTGTACCCTTGTCACAGATGACAGCAGTATTTGACCCTAATAATAACGTGTGCAATGTGTAAAGCACTGGTTTATTCAGGCACTCTTATTTGAAGAAACTGCGTGGTTATATATGGTGTCATATGTATTGCATGGTTACACAGGCAATTTTTTTTTTCCTGTACTTTATATGAAACAGCAGTAGAAATAGGCCAGGGATATAGCTCAGTGGTGTAAGTGCCGTGTCGGGCAAGCACAAGGTACTGAGTTCGATTCCCGGTACCAAAAAACCCCCACATAATGCTAACAGAACCGTTCATAGATTGCATTGTCTTTGTACGATTCTGGGAAAAAGACCTCTCCTAAATAAAATAAGCGGTATTTAATTTCAAAAACTGTATTTTACTTTATGAAACTTATTTCATCTAATTTCTTTCTACAAGAAAATGCCTACTTGACCAACTCAGCAAGAAAGGTTAATACACACATTTCACATCTAACATCAAAACCTACAGAACAGCAGTCGTCACTTACAAATCAAGCTACAAGGAAAACCTATGCTGATGGGAGGTGTAACCGTCATTACCTTTCCTAAGAGCCAGCACCCGCATGCCTGGCAGGACTGGGGAACGGCGGGCGCAGTCCGGCAGCCCCACGTCGGGGCCGGCCAGCGGGGCTCTGCTCCGCGCTTCCCGCCGCCCAGGAGGGCAGGCGCGGCCGCTCTCCCGGCGGTGTCCCTGCCCGTCGCACCCTCTAACTTCCTCCGCGTCCACACCGCACCTACGTCCCGCCCCTCTTTCTTAACGTGACCAAAAGTATGTTCTTTCTTTTTGGTTTTTTGTTTTGATTTTTTCGGTACCAGGAATCGAACTCACGACGTTGCGCTCAGCCAGGCAGGCGCTGTGCCGCTGAGCTAAATCCCCAGCTCCCAGAAGTATGTTCTTTTTCACCTAAACTCAACAAATTAAGACAAATGTGAGCTTCTTTAGTGACACTTTCGTCAGCTCAGATCTGATTTCACGTTGTACTTTCGCAGGACCGCGGACAGCGGGGGAAACGCGCGGTCTCCCGGGGCGGCGAGGCGCGGGGCGGCGAGGCGCGGGGCGGCGCTCGAGTCCGCGTTGCCTCGGCGACGCGTCGCCTCGCAGCCCGGCGCGGCGGGTTCCGGGCGCGCACAGGCGCGTTTCGCACCGCTCGCGGACGGCGCTCTTAGCTGCCCGGAGAAGCAGGGCCGGCATGTACGAATTTGTGTATCTTAAGGTCTCCAACGTCCGGCCCTGCCAAACGGCTCACCACGACCACCCAGGAAACCGAGTTCGCAGCTGCGCGCCCGCCGGGGTGCCTGCGCGTCGAAGCCGACCCCGAGCCTCTTCTCCCGCAGGATAGTGTCTGCGCAGCGACGACCCACCGGTTTCCCGGCAGGCCGCGGGCGTGGAGGCGCTGTACGGCGCCGTCTGATGACTAGTCTTACCCGCGTGCGGCGGCCCGGCCTTGGGCTTCGCGGCGCAGCCTGATGACGCAGGGCACCGGAGCGCTCGACTGGGCAGGGGGTGCGGCTGCTGGCGCCATGGGGAAGACGCAGGTGGTGAGCGAGCCTTATGGGCTTTTGAGCGATTAGGACTTTGGCCTTCGATTGAGCCGTCCTGTTTTTGAGGGCTTGGAGGTTGGGTTTCTCAAGGGTGAGACTCCCTGTTGCGGGGCTTTTGAACCGCGGAGCTAGGCGGACTGGGTCGTTGGGTGGGCAGCGCTTCGCGGCGTCCTGGAGCGGAGCGCGCGCCCGTCTCCCTCTTGCGGCGGTCGTTCTGACCGCTGGGTGGAGCTGGCGCCTGCCGTGCCATCATCTTGCCGCGTTCGTGCTCATCTGAGTAAGGGGCTTGCTGAACGGGACAAACTGAAGCCCTTTTTTAAAATCAGTGTCTTCTGCAAGCAGCGTGCGGTACTTGAGATGTTATTAAATAGGCTTCTAGTCATTCCTATTGGTGGTATTTCATTTTGAAAGATTCCAGAGTTATGCGTGGAGTCTATTCTCTGAACAGCAAACATGACTTTTCTTGTTCAAGTAAAGAGCATTACTTCAAATCCATTTGAGCTTTTCAAAAAAGCATATTACCATGTGGCGTAAAACCTGCGTTAGCTTCCCATTTAACTACACAAAAACCCAGATCCCATCCCTGACTGACCGAGGCAAGACCGTGCCTGACCCGGCTTCTGCCTGCCTGACCCTGACCGTCACCAGTCTGCAGCTCTGCGGGCCTGTCCCTCCCTGGGGCATTTGCTCCCCAATGCCTGAAACTTTTGTCTTGTTTCTCAGTCAGGTTTCAGCTTAAAAATCTCAAAGAGATTTATTCCTTAAGTAAAGTTGCACTCCTCATTCTTTATTACTATGTGTTTATTTTCATATATAAATATATATTTTAACATATATCTAACATTATCTTCTAATACATAACCAGTAGAACATAAGTTCCATAAAAGCCTTGATCTCAGTTTTGTCCGTATTCCTACTGCTTACAACAGGGTCTGGCCTGTAGACAGAAATAGAAGAGCCAGGCATGGTGGCGCATGCCTGTAATCCCAGCACTCGGGAGGTTGAAGCAGGAGCATCACTTGGAGTTCGAGGCCAGCCTGGGCTACAAAGTGAGTTCAAGGCCAGCCTGAACTGCGTAGCATAGCAAAACCTTGTCTCTACAAAAAAGAAACAAAGGTACGAAAAATACAGTGAATTCTAAAATTTTTCAAAAAAAATATAAGAAGAAAAAAATTGTGCATGATATTTAGAAATGGTAGAACAGATTTAAATTCACCCATCTGATTTACATCAATATCTCCTATGTTTCATTGATGAATATGTTTATCAAAAGATTTGAATATACATATCTGATCCATTACATTTTTCTGTCGTGTCTGAACAACAGGCCTTTTAAGAAGAATTTTGTGTATTTGAGACGCATGAAAGTAAGGTGTTCTAGATCTAGGCTTTTATTTAACAAGTGGTTTTCTCTTTTCCCCCTAGTGTCCTCCACGAGCTCTTCCACCCTTACCAAGGTAAGCTTAATTTACAGTAATTGCATCACTGAGTTTTAGAAATATTAAGTGAGTAAACTAGAAAGGACTAAGGCCATTGAAAAATAAGTAAATGGAGCCAGGCATGGTGGCACACGCCTGTAATCCCAGCACTCGGGAGGCTGAGGCAGGAGGATCACTGAAAGTTCCAGAACAGACTGGGCTAGATAGTGAGCTCAAGGCCAGCCTCAACTGCATAGCAAGACTATCTCAGAAAGACAAAAAAAAAAAAAAAAGTAAATGGAAATGAGTAAACTGGAAAAATTGACTAGTAACATTCAGAAAAGTTATTTAAACAACAACAAAAATTCTTGAAACATGAGGCTAAATGTACAATTAAATGTTTTATTTAAGAGCCTGATTGTCAAGATGATAGAATAATGGATCCATTTTGAATGTTTTAGTGTCTTGCTTATCAGAGTTGTGATTGTCTTTTGCTTGCTGGAATAGTTTCCTCAGTAAGCTGATTTTAATCAATGACAATAAGTGTTCCTAATCTGCTAAATCTACTTTATTAATAGACAGGACATTTGTATATGTTCAGCAGAATAATAGAGTTATTATTAGTGCTGTTAAACAGCTTATTACTGATAGTAGGCTAGCTTGTAAACTAGCTGACATTCTTTGAAAGTTTAATTTTAAATTTGTAATGATTTAAGTCAGTTTTTAGTTAGATAATAAAATAAGTTTCTAATTAATACTTTCCTTTTTTGTCTTTTTCTTGCTGATTACATTTGTTTGGTGTTGTGTAAAGTGGTGTTAAAGGTGAGTTAGTTTATTGTTGATGTAAAATTTCCTAGATATACTACTTGGCATTGAAAAGTAAGTTTGAAAGCTGGGCACAGTGGTGTGTACCTATAATCACAGCTACTTAAGGTACTGAGACAGGAGGGTCTTGAACCCAGGTGGTCAGGGCCAGCTGGACAACATAGTAAAACCCTGTCTCAAAACACTGAAAACCAAAAACAACCCAACAAATAAAAATAAGTTTGATTCCATAGCTTGTGTCTATAAAAACTGAATTTGAATACTATAATTTATAGTACTGCAGTGTTTATGTGTTAGATCCTGGATAATGTACAACACTAGATTGCTTTACCATTACAGATGCCCTTCATCCCTGAATGGAGTCACCCAGACCATTGATTGGTTTATAGCTCTGTAATAGAGACTGTCTGTACCTTCATTTGTCTTTTTTTGTTTTGTTGTTGTTGCTTTTGGGACAGGGTCACACAGTGTAGTTCAGGCTGGCCTTGAACTCACTGTGTAGCCCAAGCTGACTCCAAACTCGTGAATCCTGCTGCCTCAGCCTCCCAGTGCTGGGATTATCGGCGTGTGCCACCATGCCCAACTATTTTTTTTTCTAAATTATTTCAGGATAGGCAAGGTTATGCTGCACTAGCCATCCCAAAATCTCAGTGACTTCATATGATGCAGGACTACTACAAATAATGTTGGGTTAACTGCAAAGTCCACTAATAATGCAATGGTGTAATGACTTCAGGCTACTTCTGTCTTATGGTTCTGCAAGCTTTTTTTTTTTTTTTCCGGTACCAGGAATCAAACTCACAACCTTGCGCTTGCCAGGCAGGCGCTGTGCCGCTGAGCTAAATCCCCAGCCCCCGGTTCTGCAAGCTTAATGTGAAACTTCTGTTGCCACAGCAGATAGCTTTCTTGATGTTTTGGCCCCCCAAAGGACATAGCTCACTTTTCCCATGAAGTACTAACCAAATCCTACCCTGCTTAGCTTCTGAAGTCAGACAAGGTCCAGTGCCTTGAGGGTGGCATGGCCTTAAACACATGTGGATCACTTCTGTTCACAGCCTGGTGGCCAGAACCAGTCATAGGCCATCCCAGAATGCGGCGAGCTAGGGGATTGGATGAACATTTGTTGAGCCCACTTTCTGTGTCACGGTTAAAACATTACTGACTGCCAGTGCCCCACTGGTACTTGCACTGTGCGCTGTTTTTGACCTTGTCAGTGTTTAGCCTTCTTCCCCTAATGTGTAGAAGTTGATGGAATCCAAAGAAGAGAAAAAAAAAGTCTTCCTAACTAAAGGTTCTCTTCTGACTGTGCTTTGCTTTGAATTTTAGACAGATGTTTCTTTTAATGTTCTTTCTCTTTTATAGATGATATTCCACGTAGTCATCCTAAGAAAAAGAAGTCCAGGTCAAAAAGCTTGAGAGGTAAGAAGTTCTTCTTTGTTATGTCGGACCCCAGGTTTTCCTAGGATCTCAGACATGATAAATATCACAGATCAGAGAGAGACAAGGCTCCCAGGTTATCGCTGTTCTGAGGACAGAATTAAAGCCAGACTGAAGAAGAGTGAGTGAGTGTGGGACAAGACCCTGCAGCCAAGAGAGTAGCTAGCAGTGTCGTGGCGCCCAACTCTGACTTCCTCAGTGCTCTTGGACTCTGACAGTGTTCTATAGGCAGCATAAACCGTTTTAAACCGTACTTGGTGACAAGGAGTTCTGAATCCCTCAATTAGTCAGAGACTATTTAAAGCACAGACCTGGAGGCAGGGCCTCTGCATCCCTGTGTTAAAGCTTCAGTAACAAGCTGGTCTCTGAACTCCTTGTTGTCCTCATTTTTCACTGATGACCCTGGGTGTTCTGTTTTTTCTGTTAGTAACTCAAACTGAATGCATTCACAACCCAGCGTCACCTTCAACAGTTCATCAGGTTTTACTTCTCACTTACAGTGGTAGTATCTATTAACTGACACTACCATTTTCCTCTTAGGCTAACTTCAGTCCTCTGTAGTGTCTCTTAACTTCATTCTTTACTTGTACCCTTTCAAGCCTAAAGTTTCTGTAGTGGTGCTCTTTTTCTTTCCTCAAAGGAATCTTGCTCTGTGTGTCTTGTCTCCTTTATACAGTTTGTTTTGTTTTATTTTGGGTTTTTTTGGTCTTTTTGAGACAGGGTTTCACTATGCAGTTCAGGCTGACCTTGAACTCACTTTGTAGCCCAGGCGGACCTTGAACTCACAGCAACCCCCCTGCCCCAATCTAGTTAAAATCTGGATTACAAGCGTGCGCCACTGTGCCCAGCTCCTTTATACAGTTTTATGTGTTTTTCTTCCTCATTTTTTTTATATCTATTGTGAACTCGTGATTCCTTGCCTTTCCCCAGATACTTTACCTGGAACTTCCTTAACGCCTGCCATTCTGGTGGCTCTTCCTGTTTTTTGTTGTTTGTTTTTATTTTTAATTATGTTTATCAATCCATTTTAGGTGTACATAGTGATCACCTCCATCATAGGGAATTTGTACCTGTATATGACACAACTTGATTCTTTTTTTTCCCCACTCCCCTGCCTTCCCTTCAACCCCCTTCCCCTTCTTATTTACAAAAGCTTTGTTTCCGTTTTTTCCTTTTCTCATCATTTTCTTCCTTTTCCTTTCCTCACTTTCCCCTGCCCCCATATCTAGTTCCCCTTCACATTTGAACATTGTCTTCCTATTTTACAATATCTACCATACATTTTGGTCCTTATTTACACTTCCGATTTCTCACACAGGAGAAACAATACAGTATTTACACATATGTCCAGTTTACTTCACTTAAGAGTATGTCCTCAAGGTACATCCATTTAGCTAGAAATGTCTCAAGCTTATCCTTCTTTATGGCAGAGTAGTACTCCATTGTATAAAATACCCACATCTTTTTTTTCCATTCATCAGTTGATGGGCATTTGGACTCTTTCCAAGATTTATGTATTACAAACTGTGTTGCTGTAACCATGGATATGTGTATATTGCTGTGGTGTGATGCTTTCAATTCTTTTGGGAAGATACCACTGAGAGGAATAGCTGGCCAAATGGAGCTTCTAGTCCTAGCTTTTTAAGGAATCGCCATACTGATTTCCAGAATGGTTGCACTAGTCTACATGCCCACCAGCAGTGGAGAAGGGTTCCTTTTTCCCTACTGCCCCACCAACATTTGTTATTGGTTGATTTCTTGATAATAGCTATTTTTTCTGGAGTGAAATAGAATCTCAATGTTGTTTTAATTTGCATTTCTCAAATGGCCAGTAATGGTGAGCATTTTTTCATACACTTATTTGTCATTTTTACTTCCTCACCTGAGAAGGGTCTATTCACTTCAGATGCCCATTTTTGGATTGGGTCTTTAAATTTGGGGAGTCTGATTTTTTTGAATTCTTTATACATTCTTGATATTACTCCTTTGTCTGAGGAACATCTTGGGAATTTTCTTTCCCCACACTGTGGGTTGTTGCTTCACTCTGTTGGTGGTTTCTCTTGCTGTGTAAAAGCTTTTTAATAGGATGAGATCCCAGTTGTTTGTTCATTCCATTTATTAAAGAGGCTGTCTTTCTTCCAGTGAAGGTGTTTGGCATCCTTGTTGAAAAAAATAAGGTGGCTGAGTATGTCTGGAGTTGTTTCTGCATTTTGTGATCTGTTCCATTGATCCTTGGGTCTGTTTTTGGTTTTTTGTGTTTCTTTTTGCCAGTACCATGCTGTTTTTATCACAGTAGCTTTGTAGTATAATTTCAAGTCAGGTATTGTGATGCCTACAGCATTGCCTTTGTTGCCCACAGTTGCCTTTGCTAATTCTGGGTGTTTTCTGGTTCCAAATGAATTTTAGGATTGTTTTCTCTAATTCTGTGAGATATGCTGTTGGAATTTTGATTGAGATTGCATTAAATCTGTATAGCAATTTTGGAATTATGGCAGTTTTCACTATGTTGAGTCTTCCAAAGCAAGAAAAAGGGATATCTTTCCATTTTCTGATATCTTTTTAAATCTCCTTTTTCAGAGTACTGTGATTTTCAATGTAGAGGTCTTTTACTTCCTCCATGAGGTTGATTCCTAGTTATTTAATTTTTTTGGATGCTATTATAAAAGGTGATCTTTCTGTCTCTGCATTTGTTATTTGTGTACAGCAAGGCTATTGATGTTTGAGTGTTGATTTGTATCCAGCTATGCTACTGACTTTGGTTATTAAATCTAAAAGTCTTTTGGTAGAGTTTTTGGGGTCTTCTATGTAGAGTTTCATGTCATCTGCAAATAATGATAACTTCTTCCTTTCCTATCCTTATTCCTTCTCTTGTCTAATTGCTCTGGCAAATGTTTCCAGAACTGTATTGAATAAGATTGGTGACAGTGAACATCCTTGTCTTATTCCTGATTTTAGAGTGAAAGCTTTCAGTTTTGTCCATTTAGTATGATGTTGGCTGTTTGTCATAGCTGGCTTTTATCAGGTTGTGATAAAGACCATCTGTTCCAATTTTCTTTAGAGTTTTTATCATGAGTAGATGTGGAACTTTGTCAAATGCTTTTTCTACATTTATTGAGATGATCATATGGTTTTTGTCCTTGATTCTGTTAATATGGTGTAGTACATTTATTGATTTGTGAATGTTGAGCCGTCCCTTCATCCCTGGGATGAACCCTACTTAATCATGGTATATAATCTTTCTGATGATTTGCTGCGTTGTTTGCCAGTATCTTACTGAGGACTTTTACATCTATGTTCATTAGGGAAATTGGCCTATAGTTCTCTTTCTTGGTTGGGATCTTCTCTGATTTTGGTATCAGGGTATTGTTTGCTTCCAGGAATGAATTGGGGAGTATTGCTTCCTTTTCCATTTCATTAAAGAGTTTGGGAAGTAGAGGTATTAGGTCTTCTCTAAATTTCTTGTGGAATTCAGCAGTGAATCTGTCAGGACCTGGGCTTTTCTTTGTTGATAGGTTTTTAATTACATCTTCAATTATATTGCCTGATACTGGTTTATTTAGGATTTTTATATCTCCTTGATTCAGCTTTGGTAATTTATATATATCTAGGAATCTGTTTCTTCTTTGTGTTAAGAAGTCTGCCATGCTTCTGATGGGCTTTCTTTTTTTGAGGGGGGGAGGCTTTGTTTTATAGATGATTTGGGTTTTTTCTGTAATATCTTTTATTTTATTTTATTTTTGGTGTGAGAATTGAACTCACAACCTTGCGCTTGCCAGGCAGGCACTTGTGCCACTGAGCTATCTCCCTGGCCCATCCCTATCTCTCTAATAGCTTTTAATATTCTGTTCTTGTGTTGAATTTCTGAAGTCTTGACTGTGTTATGCCTTACTGTAGATATTTTTTGATCATGGCCTATTGGAGTTCCATATGCCTAACTTACTTGTGTTTCAAATTCTTTTTCCCTGCCAGAGAAGTTTTCTGCTATGATGTCTGTGAACAGGTTTTTTATATCATTTGTGGTATTTCCTGCTTTTTCATTGACTCTAATCAATGTTAACTTACTTTTCTTTGTATCACTTAACAGCTGCTGCAGGGTTGATTTTTCATGGTCCTTTGCTATTTTTCAGAAATCTTTCTTTTCATGATCACTAACTGCAATCCTGTCTTCTATATCTGAGATTCTGACCTCACATTGGCTCATTCTGGTGCATATACTTTCAATGGAATTTTTAATCTCCTGGATATCTGTTTGAATCTATTTTAATCTGTATCTGCTCTAGAGTCATTGAACATATCTTTCACTATGGTCACCATCCTTGTAGTTATCTGAGAAGTTATTTCTGATTAGATTTTTTTCCCTAGAGCCTCTTTCATCTGCTTAGTTACTTCTGCTGTTACCATTTCAGAGAGTCACGTGGGTGGCTTTCAAATTGTTCTACCTCGTGGCCCTTTGGGTTTGCCTTTGGTAACCTGGACATCTGGGGTTGCATCTTGTTTAAATGTCTACTCATTTTTGGGTTTTTTTGTTTTGTTTTTTTTTTATTTAATTTCTGAGTTGATACTTGTAAATTGCCTCTAGTGAATAACTTCATTGGTAGACCTTTAAGAAATGACTACTTCTTAGAGTTGTAGCTAGTGTTTGGGTTTTGAGTCTGTTGCATGATCCTAGCTCTTCAATTTTTTGGGGATGAGAAGGTGTTTCTTCTTGGCCCACCCCTGTTCTTTGGCCCTGGCCTATAGCATTTTTTGTGACCCTTAGTCTTGGTATAACAGGAAGAACAACTGGTTAGAACAGTTATGTCTCTTTGGTTAAAGTGATACAATCAGCAATAACAAAAGCATCAAACACAGCCTAGGAAATGACAAACTAAGGTAACTTAATTTGTCATCTTTAACCATATGAACTTGATTTGTGGTTATATAACAAAATCTGAAATGAACCAGAAAATTGTATGTAGTAAATAAGCCCTTTATATGGCAGTTTTACCCCCAGGGGAGAAAATTTTAAAAGGGTTAGGGTGAAAAAAAAAAAGTAGATTAGAAGCAAGGCTGGAGGACAAAGGAGAATCACACAAACTTTGGGAAATTTGTGAAGAAGACAGAAGAGAGAAGAAGAAATAATAAGAGCAGAACAAAACAACAACAACAAACTAGAAACCATATTCACATTTATATAAAAACAAGAACAAACAATGAAGAAAAACCACAAAAACAGAGAAAAAGAAAATAAAAAAAGAAGAAAAGAAAATTAAAAATGTCCACTTCCAGGTGTGTCTCTGCTGTGATGGTAGACAGTGCAGGCAGACAGTCTTGATCCATGTCAGTCAATCCCAGCAAGCCAGCAGCAGCTCCATGGCAGAATAGAGGATGATCCCAAAGAGCTTCACCCCTATTTTGGCCTCATGCTGTGAGGATGGAACCAGACCCTGCCAGCCTGCTGCAGTCCCCATGCCCACTGGGGGTTGAGCTTTTCTTGGAGCCACTAGGTAGAGCCAACAGCTGTTCTGATTCCCGGGCTCAGTTGGCTTCTCTCCAAAATGGCCTCCAGCCTGTTGCCCTCTCTCATGGAAAGTCCAGACAGACAACTCACCAGCCACTGCAGTCCACTGCGTCCACTGCTCCACTCCACTGGTGCACTTCTCTGTGGAGGCCTCTGAGGTTGCCAGTCGTCACTGCAATTTCACGCCACCCTTCCCATGTAGTGAGTCCAGGCTCAGGGAGATAGCACCACCTGCCTCTTCCTTCTTCTGTGCTGAGGTCTCCCTTTTCATTCTCCTTGTGGCTACACTGCTCGCTTCAGATCCTTCCTGGGTCCAGGGGACCACTTCCCTCCTTCTTCTCTTCCTCTCATTGCTGTATTCCACTGTTTGGACACCAAATGTCAGAGAAGCTCTTTCTGTGCTGCTTACCATTCCACCATCTTCCCAGAAGTCCAGTTTTATGTGTTTCTAAACAGTGATGTCATACTGCTACAAGAATGTGCCATAATCATGAGTCTCTTGTTCATTTTATTTCAAATTTTCACTGCAAACAATGTTGCAGTTCTAGATAAAGTAGTGGATAATTGGAAATTAGAGGTATTTCTGTCGGATGGATTGCTAGCAGTGCAGTTGCTATGTAGTGGATATGCGCCTTATTGATACGAAAGGTTCTAGTAAGTTATCTTCAAGGAAACTTAGTTATTTTCTGACTACAAACAGTCTGAGTGTCACATTCTCTAAGCTCTTAACAACATTGGACAATGTCAGTCCTTTAAATTTTTGTGTTACTTTAATGGGTGAAAGTAGCTTATTTTAGTTTGCATTTATCTAAGTACTAGTGAGGTTAAGTATATTTTTATTTGTTTATCAATACATTTCTATTCTTTTGTAAAGATAGGTCAGGGAATGTAGTCAAGTAAAATTCAAATCTGCCAAAATGTATTGAAGTTCTGTTAAATGACTATAAGGTTGAAATGAATGACTAAATGAAGAGATTTATAAATTGTTAACTCTAATTACTTATTTATGATGAATTTATCGTGTTAAGTTTGTTAATGAAATACTGAACTGTATAGAGTTGATAGAAACTGTTAAGGCAAGAAGCAAGTAAGAGAATTATCTATGGTGTCAATTTATATTTTTACCTTTTTGAAAGTTCTAAATATTCCAAAGAAATTTTCTCTTGTTTTTCTATTGCTCTTTTTTCAAGCTCCCCCTGCCCTTTTCTTTTTTTTTTAGTGCTGGGAATTGAACTCAGGACCTTGTGCTTGCCAGGCAGGTGCTGTGCTGCTGAGCTGTATCACTGCCACCACCCCCACTTTTCTTCTTGAACCTTTTTTGTTCCCTTACTTGTTTCTGTTTTCCGCTTTCTGCCCAAACTGACAGGTGAGGAGGGAGGAAATCAAGACTGAGGTGTTATTGTATAGGAAACATTCCAGCTACCTTTCTCCCTCGTTAGTTTTTAATTTTTAAAAATTCTTTTTTAGTTTTGTGAGACAGGATCTCACTATACAGTCCAGGCTGGCTTTGAACTCATGGCTATCCTGCTGCTTCAGCCTCCCAAATGCTGAGATTATAGGCATATGCTGCCATAAATGCCTCTTTCTCCCTTCTTTTTTTTAAATTTCTTTTTTTTGGTCTTTTTGAGACAGGGTCTTGCTATGTATGCAGTTCAGGCTGGCCTTGAGCTTGCTTTGTAGCCTAAGCTGGCCTCAGACTCGCAAGGATCCTCCTGCCACAGCCTCCCGAGTGCTGGCGTTATAGGCACGCACCACCATGCTTAGCTTCTCCCTTCTTTTTAAAGGCTCAGTGATCTCTGCTCAAGTCACCGCAAACTTTTCTACTGTGGTTTTCTGCAGCTAGTGCTTCTTCAGAAGTCCTTGCTGAGCCTGTGCCTCATAGGCCATCAGAAGGCAGTGAGCCACCAACTACAGCACTCAAAGAGGATTCCGAAACTCCTGCTCAGAGGAGGCAGAAGAGAACAAGACCACCTCTTGGTAAGTGAGGAAACCACTCAGCTTTATGATCCAGTTGTGATGTGGGGATGTCATAAAAACCTGTCTGCTCTCATTTTGCCCTCCTTTCCCACATGTGGTTTCTCTGGCCCTTCATTTCCCATGTGTATTTCCATGTCTCCTTTGGTCATTTCTGCCGAGTTTATGAGAGGAGGGGTACAAATTCAGGACTAGAACACTTAGTTCAGATCTCAGAGTACGTAAGAATTCACTTAGTGATGAACTGGACATTTCAGATTAGTGGAGAAAGGATAGATTCTGTATTAATATTATAAGGAACTAGTAGCCAACATTTATTGAGTTTTTCTATGTCCAGGCACTGTTTACAGGATAAACAAAATATTGTGTCCTTTTTTTGGTCTATCCAGTTGCCAATGCTTTTTGTCAGATTAGAAAATCCAGTGTTGATGGGAATGAGTATACTCATACACTGATGAAAGTATAAACTGAGCAGACTATTCAGGTTTCTAGAAATAGTAATAGCTATGACAATTAAATGACGCAAACTGCAGTACTATTTGCAGGAGTAGAAATGGGTAAATACCAAACCCTAACAGCGTGATTTATCCAGTTAGTGGAAACTGTGACTGTTAACTGGGATATGTCAGCTTCAGTGGCTTAAAAAACTTAATGGTAAAGCACACATCTGTGTGTGTGTCTGGCTGAGCCATGGAAGAGTATCTAAACATACACAGTAAAAGGAGTGGAAGTGTGTAGCCCTATTAACAATGACAGATTTTGCTTTTTGTTTTTGTTTTTAAAACAGGGCCTCACTAGGTAGTTCAGACTAGCCTTCAACTTACTGTGTAGCCCAGGCTGTCCTCAAACTCATGGTGATCCTCCTGCCTCAGCCTCGTAAGTGCTGAGATTACAGGTATGCATCACCACACCTGGCTTCAGTGATAGGTTTTTTTAGGAGGAGGAAGGGTGATTTTTATTTTCTTCATTTTTGTTTTATTGATTCTTCATGTACAGCATGTATAACTTTTTTGTTTGTTCGTTTTTTGTTTTTGTTTTTGTTTTTCTTCCAGTACCAGGAATCGAACTCACGATCTTACGCTTGCCAGGCAGGCGCTTTGCCGCTGAGCTAAATCCCCAGCGCCTAACTTTCATAATAATTAGAAAAAGACTAAAGATTTTTGCTAGAGTAACACAAAGGGAAGGAGCAAAGATTGTGAGATTAGCTATCTCCTATTAACATCAGACCTTTTGAATAATTTTTTACAAATTACTTTCCCTAATTATTTGTGCTTTTGAGAAACAGCAGACCCTGACTGGATGGAGGAATTATAGGAGTAGAGGGGCTGCAACCAGAGATGTTGGGAGGGTTCAGCACAGTTAGGGATGCAGGTGCGGTAGGTCCCCCTGGTGCCTGGCCTGAGTGTGAAGAAGAGGCGAGAGCGGAAGAGGGGGAAGGAAGAGGACAGGAACGGCTCTGTGAGGCGCTGCGCCTCCTTGCAGTGATCTGTTTCATCCCTGGCACGAAGTGTAGTTTAATGAAACTACCCTCTTAGAAATCCCAGTGGGTACAAACTTGAAAGTTGAGATGGACACTAACTAATGCCTAGTTTTTTGGAGTTGTTTATTTTTTTTTTCTTTTTCAGACAAAAAAATTGAATTTTTTTTTTTTTTTTTGTCTTTTCTCTGTGCACTTCTGGATGGCATTGAACTCACTTTGTAGCCAAGGCTGGCCTCAGATTCACAGCTATCCTCCTGCCTCAGCCTCCCGAGTGCCAGGATTACAGGTGTGAGCCACCATGCCCAGCCTAATACCTAGTTTTATAATTCCTGAAAAATGTCTGTAATAGAAGTGACCATTTATAGAAAATTTAGGACCCAACTGAGCTTGGGGCCAGTGAGCATCTCTCAGTGCCACTCCAGAATGCTCTCAATCTTGCCAGTCTAGCTTTCTGTATTTTAGGATTTAAAATTTTTGTTTGATTTTTTTGTTTTGTTTTGTTCAGAACATACATTAGACTTTGTTGCTTATATTTGTCTTTCCAGTATTTCATTTAAATAGAATTGGAAGGGGTTGAAGCATTGTAGAGAGCTGGTGCTTCCAGGCAGGAAGAGTGGGAAGGCCCCATTGACTTGTTTACACTCTATGCCTGACCTTTGTGTGACACAGCAATGATATGACCACGGTTGTTACAAAGGTTTTTAACTAGTGTTTGGATACTTGGATGGTAAACAGTTCCCCACACTGATAGGAGACTTTGCCAGAATTATACAGGGAGCTCACACTGTGCATTTGTACAGTATGATTTATGTTGCGCACTTGCTCCCCTCTGAAATTTTGGTATATCTAGGCTTCTGTGATTACCCTGCAACAAAACTTTGGGTGCTGAGTTTCTAATGAGCTTCCTAGGTAGGGACCTCATCCTGTGTGTCAAAATGAGCTCACCCTGCTGAACGGCACTAAGGGGGCTGTCGGAAGTGGTGCCTGGCTTCATCTGGAGTTGGCACTTTTACTCTGGCATGGTGGCACACTCCTGTAATGCCAGTTACTTGAGAGGCTGAGACGCGAAGATCCAAGATTGAGACCAGTCTGGAATTTGCTCCATCTACTTTCTCTTTTGCTGATTTTGCCTTACATCCTCTTGATGTAATAAAGTAACCTTGAGTGTAATGACTTTTGAGTCCTGTGAACCCTTCTAGCAAGTCGCTAAACCTGGAGGTGATCTAACCCTGGGTATTGCATTACTTGACCTTTTCTCCATATTGTTTTGCATTGCTATTGCAAATTGTTTATTGATAGTTTAGCTGTATAACATTTTAAAAATTAGAAATTTGTAAGGTAGTGAAAAAAATTGTGTCCTATTTAAAACTTTTAAGTTCTCTTGCCTTATAAAAGTCCTGTATGTTATTTTTATGTATCTTATAGTCATTTGAAAACATAATTTATTTTATTTTCAGAGTGTGAGACTTCCTTTACCCAAAAGAAAACATCTAGTCCGTCTTTATTACGAAATGAAAATGGTATTGATATGGACCCTGCTGAGGAGGCAGTTGCTCAAAAACCTCGAAGGAAGGCAAAGTAATAATTTATTCTTCTAAATATTCTCTAGGGTTACTCATGTACTTACCTCAGAGCTCCCAAATGTAGCTTTTCAGCAGGTTTTATTAGATACTATGTCTGTCTCTAGGACAAGTAGTGTTACAAAACATCAGGTAAGCCGGGCGTGGTGGCACATGCCTGTAATCCCAGCACTTGGGAGGCTGAGGCAGGAGGATCAGTGCAGGTTCGAGGCCAGCCTGAGCTACAAAGTGAGCTCAAGGCCAGCCTGAACTGCATAGCAAGACCCTGTCCCAAAAAGACACACACACACACAAAATCAGGTAAGCCAGTCCCATAGTAAGTTTGAAAGGAGTGAAACCCACAGGAAATTTTTAAAAATTAATATATAAGTTAAAAACCTAAGGAGCCATCTCTAAAAAAGGACAAAATGGAAAGATTTAATGTAAGCAGCAAAAAATGAGGCAGTAAAGACTTAAAAGCTGGGCTGGGGATTTAGCTCAGCAGCACAGCACCTGCCTGGCAAGCACAAGGTCGTGAGTTTGATTCCAGGTACCGGAGAAAAACCAAAACCAAAAAAAAAAAAAAAAAAAGAAAGACTTAAAAGCTGAAGATAGTAAAATAGGCTGTTGTGATTTATTTCCACATGTTAACAGAATTTGAATTATGACTAGTTCATAATAAGTAAAACCATGTTTTAGCCTAGGAAGGTAAGTCTCAGATAAAATAGAATGGTAGCTGGGCGTGGTGGTGCATGTCTGTAATCCCAGCACTCAAGAGGCTGAAGCAGGAGGATCCTTGCAAGTTTGAGGCCAGCCTGGGCTACAAAGTGAGTTCAAGACCAGCCTGAACTGCATAGCGAGACTGTGTCTCAAAAAGACAAAAAAAAAAAAAAAAAAGAATGGCATACTTTAAAGAGATACGCTGTCATATAGTTATATGACATTACTGTTTGTATGTGAAAGTGACCCTATGAACAGTGATAAATTTATATAGAGAATCATATAATTCAAGTCTAGAAAGATCTTGTTCGGTCACTGCATTTTCCAGATGAGAAAACTGAGGCCCACTGAGGTCCAGACAACTCATGCGCAGAACAGTTAGTAGCAACTCTGCAACTCCATTGTACTCATGGGCAGTTTCTTATGTGGATCCATAAAACCACAAGAATTAGCCATTTTTCTTAATTTCTCCCTCATTACAGGAAAGCCAAGCCAGAGCTACAGTATGCTAATGAGCTAGGAGTAGAAGATGAAGACATAATTACCGACGAGCAAAGAGTTCCAGAACAACAGTCTAGATTCACTGCACCTACTGGAATTAGCCAGCCTGTAGGCAAAGTATTTATAGAAAAAAGCCGTAAGTAGTGTCTTGCTTTGGAAAACAATCTCTTTACAAGGTACAGAGGATATCCTTTGGCCTTGCAGTTATACATCTAGCAGTTTAAATTAAGGAGATAATTAAAAACATGGATAAAAACATGTACACCAAGTTAGTCATGGCACTTATTTGTAAGGTGAAAAGCTGGAAACAACCTAAATGTAAAACAAGAGGAGAATGATTTCAGAAAGCTGTAGTTTCTCTGTATAATAAAATATTCCGCACTGTTAAATGTGTAGGGAGAATTTTTCATTTCATGGAAAGAATCTAATGAAAAATAAATTTACCTCCACATATATACACACAGAGTTTGATCTTACCTATAGAAAAATGCAAAGGACGAAAGACTTGAAGGAAATATGATAATATATTAGTGCTGGTTGATTCTGGGTTTGGGATTGTGGGTAATTTAAAGACTCTTGCCCCATCCCCTCCCATTTCCTTATATTTTTTTGTGCTTGACCAGTTTTGGGCAATTGGTAGTTGTTGTGGTAATAGGCCAGGTAATGATATAAATTCTACAGGTAAAAGTAAAAGAGAAAATACATGTTGAGACTACCATATTAAATAAACACAATGTTATAGCTATACAGGAAAATGTTTCTGACATTGTACAGCATATACTGGTTATAAATTGGATTTGCTCAGGCTGCTATACAAAATATCATAGACTGGATACTTAAACAGTACATTTATTTCTTACAGTTCTGGAAGCTGAGAAGTCAGGGTGGTGCTGGTAGACCTGGTTCTTAGTGATGGCCCCTTCCTGGCTTGCACAGTCTTCCTGTGTCTTCAGATGGCAGAGAGCGCTAATGTCTCTTCCCTTTAAAAAGACACTAATCCCATCAGGGAGCTCTACCCTTGTGACTTTGTGTAAACTGAATTACTCTTCAGGTGTAATACTTCTAAATATCATGAGACTGGGGATTAGGGCTTCAAGATAGGAATTTTGGGAGATATATTCAGTCTACAACACAGTGTTTAAGAAAAATCTGTACAAAACACGATCATTACCTTGTCCTCCTCCAGTGGATATACTATGGATATATTGCCTAAAAAACTCCAAAACAGAAAGTCAAGTCCTGGGGCTGGGAATTTAGCTCAGTGGCACAGCGCCTACCTGGCAAGCACAAGGTCATGAGTTCGATTCCCGGTACCGGAAAAAAACAAACAAACAAACAAACAAACAAACAATTTAAAAAAAAAAAAAGAAAGAAAGAAAGTTAAGTCCTTAAAGTTGGCGATTTCTATCTTGTGTCAGCGGTTTTAGAATTCTGTTTCCCTAAGATCCTGTCTCAGGGGTCACAGCGTTCTCACCCAGTGAGAAGAATCCTGTGGTTGGAGAGACTGCCAGCTCGTCCTCAGCTCACAGCTGGTCATTCAGTGCAGTTTGGACTTGTGCTGCGTTTCGTAGCTTCCTCATCCCGTGCCGTCAGCAGCATACTGCGTGCCCAGTGTATTTGCTCCAGGCTTTTTTCAAGCAGTATCATGCAGTCCTCATTTTTTTCTTCTCAACACAAATTTCTCTTTGGGAGTAACTGACAATAAAAGGGACCAGTGGTTCATTGTCTGTTGAAGGTGTTTTAGGGGAAAAAAAAAGGTTCTTTCATCCTTCACACCTGCTAGCTGGGTTCGGTGATGGTAATGGTGGGGACCTTTGAGGTCTGTCTGTGGATTTCTAGTTGACAGGAAGAAGGATGAAGCCCTGTTGATGTGAGGTGCAATGCTGACACTTGAGCTGATAACCTCTTAGGAATCTTCTTAATACAAGTCTATGAAATACCTCTTTCCTTTTCTGTCAATAGGGAAAGCTTTTGGCATTTGAACCATTATACATCTGAAGTCTCTAACTGGGTGTGGTGGCACATACTGTAATCCCAGCACTTGGGAGGCTGACGCTGGAAAATCAAAATCATAAGTTTGAGTCCTATCTGGGTAACTTAGTGAGACCCTGTCTCAAAATAAAAAGGGCCAGGGTGTAGCTCTGTATGAAGACCCTGGGTCAATCCCTAGTACCAAAAAAGTCTCTAAATTAGAATTTTGTAAACTATATCATGTTAACGGTTGAGTTGAAAGTTCATTATTGTATTTCATAAATTTCTAAGATTGTTACTTTGTCAGTTAAAGTAACTACCTTACCATTGCTTATTCTTTTAAAAGATGATGAAATAGTATGTTTAAGCAACAACAAAAAGCACTGAGTCAAGGAGAGTTTTTAGATGGAAAAACAGCAAACTTTCTTAGCTCAGGCTCCTTCCATGTGGACTAATGGTTTCTCTCCTGTTTGTTGGCAATTGTATATTCTTAGGGCGATTCCAGGCTGCTGATCGTTCAGAATTGATAAAGACCACAGAAAACATAGACGTGAGCATGGATGTGAAGCCTTCCTGGACCACCAGAGATGTGGCGCTTTCCGTGCACCAGGCTTTCAGGTGATGGCCTCCCTGGGTTTCACAGTTTAAAATTTTAAAAGTCCTGGCCATTCAATACCATTACCAAAATTGAAGCTAAAAATGGTGTGCAGGTATATTTTTAAAACATTCCATTGAAGTTAAATGACCTGCCTATCAGCCTGAGTAAAAGAAAAAGGATTGCAGTCTATCGAGAGCTCTTGCTTAGCCTCCGTGAGCCCTTGGTTCGATCCTCAGCTCTGGGGAAAGAAGGTTCATTCTCATTTGTCATCAGATGTTGGATTTTATTCTGTGTGAAGAGATTTAAAAAGTTGTTTGTCCTTTTACTCCAGTAAGTTATTTGCAGCAACTCAGCCCTTTTCCGTGCAGGATGATCGGTCTTTTTTCTCACGGCTTCCTGGCGGGCTGCGCTGTGTGGAATGTTGTTGTGATATATGCTCTAGCCGGAGAGCAGCTGTCAAACCTCCCCAACCTACTGCAGCAGTACAAGACCTTAGCATATCCGCTCCAGAGTCTCCTGTACTTGCTGTTGGCTCTGAGTACAGTTTCAGCTTTTGACAGGTAAGACTTGTACATGCAGATTCCTCTAGTTGTCTTCAGGAGGAAATGCTAAGGCATAGTCACTGACTATGAGAGTTTTCAAATAGAACTTTAGGATATTAATATTACTTTTTACATTATTTTATGTTAGTCTTTGGATTAAGGTGACCTTACCTTAACTTAGTTTCATCTCCAAAAACCACATTTCACGTGAGGTCATATCTACACATACCAAGGGTTAGGAATTCAGTGTATTTTGTGGGGGACAGTATGGTTCAACCCATAAAAGTAAAAAAAAAAAAAAAATTTATTGCTTCATGATGTGGGTAATAGAAGTAGGAATGAATGAATTTTGTAGGTCAAATTTAATTTGTTTTCTCCTAATAGTTGGATTGCGTTATCTAGTTGGATAACGTTATGTGATCTTTGAAACAAGATACTGTCTTGCATGTAGGTATAAACCGTAGCTGTAAAGCCTTGTGATACAAGGGTTCCCCATCCCTGAGCCATGACCTGTACTGGTCTGTGCCACTCCCTGTCACGCACATCATCTCCTGTGCTGTGGGTGGCACAGGGTTAGGTCTCAGGGTTAGGAGCAGTGCAGTGTGACCTGTGCAGGGAGGGATCTGGGCTGCTTTCTCCTTATGGGAATCCAGTGCTTGATGACCTGAGGTAGAGCTGAGGACCCCTCTTCCTGCCATCTGTAGAAAGTTTGTCTTTAACAGAACCAGTCCCTGGTGCCAGAAATGTTGGAAACCACTGTTGTAATAGATAGTTTAGCAGTAGAATCAAGAATTACACTCAGGAAAGTGAGTGGGTGTGAGAAAGTTTACAACTGCACCATGACAAGGAGCTTTTCTATTTTCTAGAATTGACTTTGCTAAGACGTCAGTAGCAATCCGAAATTTTTTTGCCCTGGACCCAACAGCTTTGGCATCTTTTTGTAAGTAATAGTTTAATATTTAATTCACACTATAATTTTTTTTTTTTTTTTGGTCTTTTTGAGACAGGATCTCACTATGCAGTTCAGGCTGGCCTTGAGCTCACTTTATAGCCCAGGCTGGTCTCGAACTCACAGCGATCCTCCTGCCTCAGACTCCCAAGTGCTGGGATTACAGGCGTGCGCCACCACACCCGGCTTACACTGTAATTTTGAACCAGGAAAAATATGATTCTATTTTATTCTTACGAAGTTTTATATTATTACCCTTAATGAAGTTTAGTGAATTTATAATTAAAAACATGGTAGGCATAATTTTTGTAGAGTTATTTTTTCATCAGAGGTTCATTTACATAATATTTCAGTTTAATTTATACATAAGGCCCTGAGTTCAATCCTCAGCATCAAAACGAAAGTTTGATTTGTTTTACATTAGCTAATTTTTAGCTGTTTTACTTTATATTCATCAATAAACATATTCAGCTGGTATAGCCTCTCAGTAATAAATACTGTATTATATCCTTTGATAATTTAGAATACATTTTATTATGAGAATATTAATAAAACTAGTTTTGGGACCTTGAGCAAGTTACTTAATTTCTAAAAAGGTGCTCTAGGTTCTTGTCAGTTCTAATGATAAAATGGTGAGCGGCTCAGAAGATCCTCAGTGCTTGTGTTGAGAAATAAGACTCTCTTAAATTTTTTTTTTTTTCTTTTTGAGACAAGGTCTCTCTGTGCAGTTCAGGCTGGCCTTGAGCTCACTTTGTAGCGTAGGCTGGCCTCAAACTCACAGTGATCCTCCTGCCTCAGCCTCCCAAGTGCTGGGATTATAGTGAGCCACTATGCCCAGCAAGAGTCTCTTAAAATTGATGAACTGAATTTCTTTTATGTCATCATTCACTGAAGTAGATTCCTTTGACCTTTTTAATCTATAAATTCAGAATAAATTGGATTGTTAAAAATAATTAGGAATTTCATTTGTCTGTTTTTTCAGTGTGCTTTACTGCTCTTATACTGTCTCTGAGTCAGCAAATGACAAGTGACAGGATCCACCTTTACACACCTCCTGTTAACGGCAGCCTTAGGTATGAATTCAGGTGATGTAGCACTTGTTCATGGTAAAATAGCAACAGTGGAGTACTGGTACTTTACCCTCCATTCTTGTTCATGTTTTCATCTGTAAATAATAATGCAGGCCCTGTTTAAATTCTAAAAATATTTCCACATTTCCTTTGGTTGAGGGATAACTATTATTGCACATACCTGCACTGTTAAGGAAGTGTCTTCTTTTCACAGATATGTTTTAGATCTTTAACTCACACCATGCAGTGTCCCAGAGAAGCTCTCTCCATATCTCCAGTCAGGACAGTGACGGGGAGGGAGACTGGGGCAGAGGCAGAGCTAAGAGGTGCTGAGAGGGTGAGCAGAGAGAGCCGCGTGTGCCCAGGGGTGGCCAGGCACAACACTGTAAGACAGCTGAGGTTTGGGGGAAACTCAGATGGGCAGCTGGGGTTTCTGTTGGTTTGCTTTGTTTTGTGAGTGGCTAGGGAATACGTTAAGAGACAAAGAAAGAGGCTTAATTGAAGAAGGGAAAGGTAGGAAATCTCTTTTGGGAATATTAACTTTCCATTTATGGTAACATGCAGAGCACATCTAGTTAGAGTTCAAGTAATATTTGAACCCTTATTCTCCTGATAGATACGGTGTATTTTGTCGGGGAATTATGTTTTATTTTGTACTTGTTATTTTTTTAGAAGAGGACTGTTCTTTTTTTAAGTTCATAAAATAGCTGTATTTTGATATATGAACCAAAATGAAGGTATTTCTAATGTGCATCTCTGTACCTCTAGGGCAGCAGGAATTGAGGAACAGATTCTGCAGCCATGGATTGTGGTGAACTTGGTGGTGGCCCTTCTGGTGGGGTTGTCGTGGCTGTTTTTGTCTTACAGGCCAGGCATGGATCTTAGTGAAGGTATTAAAGAAAAGTAGTGTAAGAGCATCCTGAACCTTCTCTAACGATTTTATAAATTCTTTTATATCTCAACAACAACCCAGGTGTGGTGGTGCACATGTGTAATCCCAACATTCAGGAGGCTGAGGCGGGAAGATCCATAGTGAGTGCAGCGCCAACCTGGGCTAACATAGTAAGTTCAGGGCCAGCCTGAACTGCACAGTGAGACCCTGTCTCAAAAACAGCAACAGAGGTGCATATAAAATAAAATTATACAAAAAGAGTAGAAGTTAGGTGATGTGACCAAATGGCAGAAGAGGCAGGGGGCCTAAAGAGCCGGGTCTGGACACTGCCTGAGGGGTTTCTCGTCCTTAAACCCTTCAGGTCATGCAGAGAAAGTCTGTTCTTCACCAGTCTTCATCATCTCCTGATGAAAGTATCTCTTAATTTGAAGTAAATCATGCTTAATTTGTGTAGCCTGTCTGCCAGACACATACTCAAGTGAATTCTTTTTTCCTCTACTTGGCACAAACTTGGAACTCTCCGTGGAGTTATTAGTTATTAGAAGTGCTTAGTTCTAACCCTGGTATGCCCAGGGCCCAGCGGACTCACTGACCTGTGGGACACCTGAGAACAGGCATCCTGTTGGTGGAGTGTGCTCCGCCCTCACTCCCTGGGCAGTGCTGTGTCTGTCCTGGACACTGTGCTTCCTCCGCAGCGACTCTACACTCTCCCCTTGGAATCTTTCTTAGGGATATTTTCTGGACTTCGGTTATGATTTTAAAGTATTTTGTTTAATCTTAGGCTTTATCTATTTGGTGTTTTTCTCTCACTTTGTATAATTTTCACTTATTTAAAGAATTTTTCATCTAATTACTTACATCAGAGGACTTTATTTTACTAGATCCTTAAGATTTTCTTTGCTATATTTCTTGGCAGTTTAGTAAATTCCATTATCTGTGCTAAATAATAGTTTACTTATAAAAATATCCAGTTGGCCAGGTGTGGTGGCGCACACCCGTAATCCCAGCACTCTGGAGTCTGAGGCAGGAGGATTGTTGCAAGTTCTAGACCAAACCTGGGTTACAAAATGAGCTCAAGGCCAGCCTGAACTGCCTAGTGAGACCCTGTCTCAAAAAGACAAACAAAAAAGTGTCCAGTAATAACATTCTGTGCTGTGGTTAGGGCTGAAAGTCTGTCAACTGGTGAACAGTTCCAGAAACCTGCTCTCCTAGGGCTCTGTGAGTCACGTGACTTCTTGTTGTCATTCAGAATGTTAATGAACATGAAGTAAATATGAGGATAATACCTCCCTTAGGATTGTTTCAGTGAGTAAATGGTATGACACATTTACGATAACCTAGTACATGCCTGTTCGTACTTCCAGGTCCTTCATCTGTATCTGTCCCCTACATTTCAGATTATTTTTCACTATAGAAATAGACCTTGTAGCTGTTTAATGATCTCAGGTAGTCTGAGTGTCTTAAATTTCCTGGTGAGTTATCTCCATTGTATGTTTTATTTTTCAGGATTTATAATACATGTAAAGCTTGAGGCTGAGGATATAGCTCAGCAGCACAAGTGCCTGCCTGGCAAGTACAAGGTCCTGAGTTCGATTCCCAAAGCCAAAAATAAATAAATAAATAGATAAAGCTTGAATACTTTAACATGTACAATATGTACATTTGTTATTAGCACACCCTTTAAATCTGTTTTCACTGTCAAGAATTCATGCTTGTACTTGAGGGTTTTCTGTTACTGTGTATTATGTCAGTATTTCAAGAGACCATTCATAACTAAGCTGTAAAACTCTTTGAGGTGCTAAGAAACTGTTTTAAGTATGATCTATTCATTTTCTTCTCCAGAGTTAATGTTCTTCTGTGATACGGAAGAGTATCCTGATAAAGGCAGCAAAGCCTCTTCATAGTAGCAGCTCATCTGCAGAGGAATAATGACTCAGTATTCTTCTCACTTTTCAAAAAATAGTATTTTATAAGATAGGTGTATTTATAATTGATTGTACAGTACTGAACAGTTTCTCAAGATTATGGAAAAATGTTAAAATTCTGTCTTCGATTTACATGAAAATACCGATTTCCTCAGCCTTATTGTACTGATGGCAAAAGAGAGTGACGTAGAAGCCAGCAGGCCACAGTGCTGCTTTCCCGCTCCCAGCGGGCTGTTCTTACAACGAGTGTCTTAAGAAGACTACTCAGAAAATCTCCATGTTAATATTACAAAGTGTGTATCAAATTTAATTATAAATTTAGAGAGTAGAAGGTAAAGAAAGAGCTCCACTGTTATCTCCTTACTGAATAAATTGAACTATAAAATTTGTTTTCTTGTGAATCTGACTTAGTAGTTGTGTCATATGATAATTATAATTAATTTTAATATGCTTTATTGCTAATGGAACAGAAATAGGTCTTTTTGCTTGAAGGTTTTATGACCTAAAAAGTTTATTTCTCTTCAAAGTCTACAGCAGTAGTTCCTCATCCAGTCACATGCTGAAAATATTCGGGGACATAACTTACAAAACGAGTAGCCAAAGAGAGACTGAGCCAGGCAGAAGCTCCTGATGAACCTCTTCACTACCCTCTTCTGGTTGGTTGGTTGGTTGGTTGGTTTGAGTAAGAAGAACTGTGAGCAGAAAATCTGTATTTCCTCACTGTTTGTCAGGAAGATCTTTGGCTTTCCAGGATCCTTGCTCCTGAGATACGGCTCCTGCACTGGAAAAGCTGTCTTCACAGCTGTATCCTGCGTTTTCTCAACTGGCAGCTCTGAGACCCAACAACTCAGAATACAAGACATGCAGAGGGAAGGAGCAACTCAAAGGCTGTGGACCCCAGCAGTAGAACTGTCAGGCCTGCCCTCGTGAGCAAGCGGTCGGATGTTGTGGAACAGAAGAGGACTGACAGGTTGATGGTAGGGACTGGTGCCCTGAGTTAATACAGAATTGGTGCAAGCACCACATTAGGAATATCTTCTGCTTTCTGTAAGGCTGGAGCTGCTGAGTAGAGGTTCCTTCTGCCGTCGGAACTGTGAATATGCCAGCAATTCTGAAGTCATCGTGCAAGTTCTGGCTTCACTGTAGTCACCAGAGGTTCACATGTGACAGCACACTACTAGGGAAGGAATTCACAATCCCCCTTGTCTGCAAACTGCAGAGACGCCATGCTCATCAGACCTGAAACACCGGAACAGTATCATCAAGGAGCAGTATCCGAAGCTGGGTGTGGTGGTGGCACATACCTGTAATCCCAGCACTCAGGAGACCGAGGCAGGAGGATCATTGTGAGTTTGAGACTAGCCTGGGTTACCAAGTGAGCTGAAGGCCAGTCTGAACTGCATAGGGAGACCCTGTCTCAAAAAGACCAAAAAAAAGCAATATCGGAAAGCCGCCACCATTGTGGGGGATTGTGGGAGCTGCTCAGCGTCTACCAGATAGTTCCTAATCCCTGAAACGTGACTGCACTGCTTGACGCAGCAGAAGATACAAATGTGATTAAGAGTTTGTACCTTGAAGGAGTATCTTGTATATTGCTCAGCTGTCCTAGTGTAGTCTTGTGCATCCTCCGAAGCAGAACCTTTCATATCTGTGGGCAGAGAAAGCTGTATGTTAGAGAGCTGTGAGGGTGCCAGCTTTAAAGATGGAGGGTGCCATGAACCAAGAATCTTGAGAATTGGGCCAGGGATATAGCTCAGCAGCAGAAGTGCCTGGCAAATGCAAGGTCCTGAGTTCAATTCCTAGTTCAAAAAAAAATTCCTAGAAGCTAAAAATGACCCTTGGCCAACAGCAAGCAAAGAAACAGAAACAAGGCCTGTGGTCCCACAGCTGCAAGGAATTGAAGTCTACCAGTGTTTCAAGTGAGCAAGGAAGGTGGTCCTCCCGTAGAACCTCGAGAGTAGGGTGCAGCTCTGTGGACACCTTGATTCTGGCCCATTGACATCTGGCTCCAACTTACAGAGCTGTAACGGTAAATGTGTTGTGTAAGCTGCAGAATTTGCTTGTAATATATCAGAGAGTAAAGAATCCTAGAGCTGTTATGTAGAGTTGGGGAAGCTGGCTACACTGGTATCAGCATAGGCCTAGTTCCTTTGAATTCTTTTGGGTCAGAAAAACATGATCCAAAGTTCATATCTTCTGCTGATTCCAGCAAACCTGATCCCCAAGGTGAACTCACACAAATCCTTCATCAGGGACAAACTAATGTGTCTGTCAAAGACTCTTTGACCATGATGGCTGAGAAGCATGAAAGAAGTTCTCTGCAAATGCACATCTTCAGGAGGTAGGGAATAAAGTCACAAGGACTAACTCAAGGCAAATTGCTAGCCTGAGAGAGAGTACCAGCCCTGTTGAATCTGAATCTCTGAGAATGAGGCCTAGGTTTGTGGAGCACAAAAATTTAAAAATGAATAAAACATGATACCTGCTCTCTACAATCTTAGAAGCTAACTAGCTACAGATGGGAATAGGGATGGAAAAATGTAGAAAAGAGTTGTAGGTTGGGTATGAGCAGGTGCTTTACAGGATGGATGGAATTTCCATTGGTGGAAATGGGGCCCAAGAAAAAGGGTATATGGGCAAGTGTGCCCTAAGGACTTTTTATTTGGAAATTATCAAATAAAAATGTGGAAAGGCAGCATCCATAATATAGGTCAATTTAGACACAATAATTGTTAAATGTTTTGCATTATTTAGCTGGGCATGGTAGTGCATGGCTGTAATTCCAGCACTCTGACAGGCTGACGCCAGAGGATCTGAGATTTGCGGGCAGCATTGCCAATTTAGTGACTTAAAAGAGAACCAGTCTCAAAAAGCAGAAAGTACTGGGAAAGTAGCTATTTTGTGGGAAGGCCCTGAGTTCAATCTGTTCCCAGTAACCCCCAGTATTCCCAAAAGAAAAAAAGAATCATTTGCTTTTTCTTGGTATATCCTTTTTCTTTGAAAACCTTTTAGAAAAGTTGGGTGTGGTAGTACATGCCTGTAATCTAAACACTTGGGAGACTGAGGCTGGAGGATCACCTTGGGTTGGAGGCCAGCCTGAGCTGCTGTGCTGGTTACTTTTCTCTCGTTGCTGAGACAATACCTGATGCCCCAAATTAAGGCAGGAAAAGTTTATTTAGCTCATGGTTTGTGGCGTTCTCAGTCCATAACCAGCTGGCCCCAAGGCAGGGTGGCAGGGCACAGGGACAACAGTTCATGGAGGCAGAAGACAGCAAGAGCAGCAAGAACAAAAGGGGCATAAACAAGCCTCTTTTCCTCCCTTACGTTGTAAGCAGGCTCCCAACCAGAGGGTGGGACCTTTGGACCCACACCATCTCCATGCCATCTTGCACGGGCTCAGGATGTTCACACAGTGAGGGCCCTGGCCCCCTGCTAAGCCCCTTAATTAAACTTCCAAACTTCTCAAGTTGACACAATGTATCAACTGCAACAGTTTCATAGTGAGTTCAAGGCCAGTCTAAACTCTATAGCAAGACCCTATCTCAAAAAACAATGACAACCAAAAAAGCCTTGATTTATTTGGTACCGGGAATCGAACTCATGACCTCAGCCTTGCCAGACAAGTGCTTACGCTGCTGAGCTATATCCCTGGCCCTAAAAAAGCCTTTTAAAATTAAGTTGCTAACATCATAGTTCACCTGAGTACTTCCGCATACAGGTACTAAAGATAAGGACGTTTGTCTGTAACCACAATACCAAGGCAATTGGAATACAATAATTCCAGTATAGCTAATAACTGCTCCACTCAGATTTTCCCAGTTGCTCCTTGAGGTGTAGTCAAGGTTCACACATTTCATTTGGTTGTTTTCTTTCTCATACCTTAACTTAGTGTCCCTACCATTTTTTCCTCCAGATTTTTAATGAAAATTTTCACTGTGGATTTATGCAATTGTATAGAGATTCTTTGTACAGTTTACTAATGTCTCCTGAAAACCTTTTGCAAAAGTAGTATAACATCATAATCAGGGTATTGATACAGCTGACCCATCTTATTTAGATTTTCCATTTTATTTGTATTTTGTCGGTTTGTGTTTTAAGTCTGTACCTTTTTTTTGGTCTTTTTGAGACAGGGTCTCACTATGCAATTCAGGCTGGCCTTGATCTCACTTTGTAGCCCAGGCTGGTCTCGAACTTGCAATGATCCTCCTGCCTCAGCCTCCCGAGTGATGGGATTACAGACATGCGCCACCACGCCTGGCTAAATCTGTACATTTTTGTTATTCACGAAGTCGGTGTATCTGCACAGTAGTCAAAATACAACCTATCCAGAAGCCACAAGCACCTCCCACGGTGCTCTTTTTAATCGTATCTCCCTCTTGCACCCCAAACTGTAACCCTTGGTAACCTTAGTCTATTTCTGAAGTTTGTCATTTCAGTAATGTTGAATAATTGGGATATAATCTTTTGGGACTGGCTGCTTTTCTGCCTAGAGTTGCTCCCAGGACATCCGTCCCAGTTTTCATTCCTTTTTCTTGCTGAGTAGTAGTACAGGGTATTACACACTGTGCTTTGTTTTACCATTCACATGTGGAATGGCATCTGTATTAAAACTTGCATGAACATTTGTGTGCAAGTTTTTATGTGAACACTTTTATTTCTGTGAATAAATGCCCAGGCACACAATTGATGGTTTCATACAGTTACATGTTTACTTTATTAGTTTTCTCTTAAAAACTTGGCAGTGTATTCTATATTTGTATGACTTTTTTTTTGGAGTGCCCAAAACTTTTGTTTTAGTATCCTTACATTTTTGATGGTCTAAATTTTCCCTAAGTTTCACTTGAGATTTTTTTCTCAGTCTTCTAAATTTTCTGTGTACTGGAGTTTAAGTCTGAATGTTTGATTAAATTTAATATTTTAAAACAAGGTAACTTCCTCAGTGCTGTTTTATACTTCTATGGTTGCATAATCTGGATCCTAAAGAAAATCACAGAGAACTGGTAGACAGCAAGTCTCATTGGCATAGTGATTAAACACTGTATCATAGACCCAGAATGAAAATAAATACATTTTTTTGGGCCATGGGATGTTGTGCCATGCACCCTGACAGGTGGAAGATGAGGATCAGGTTTCTGCCCGCAAAGGACTGTGTTCTAAGATTAATAACTAATAGTGTGAGCCCACTAACATGGGTGTTACGGTTTGTGTCGGGATGTCCCCCCAGAGCCTCATGCAGTCATGGGATGGGCTTCTAGAGTTTATGACTGATCCATAGTCCACTGCTGGGATTATGGGTGTGAGTGCTGCACCCACCCTGGGATGGGCAGTTTGCACAGAATGTAAGGGAAGGAAAGAGGCTTGCTCTTCCCTCTGCCACTCCTCCCTTTGCCACTCCTCCCTTTTGCTCTTGATGCTTTTGCTGTCTTCTGTGCTCGCTAAACTGTTGCCCTCTGCCATGTGCCACTCTCCTTGGAGTCAGCCTTGTATGGACTGAAACCTCCAGACTGTGAGCTAAACAAACCTTTCCTCCTTCATTCTGGGTGTCGGGTATTTTGTCTCAGCAATGAGAGAAAAGTAACCAAGATAATGGGTGTTCTAAGTACTTGAAGATAGTGCTGCTTTTGTCAGTTAGTCTACAATGTTATAGAACTTAACAGGCACCTGGCTTTTGAGCTGACCCTTAAATAGAGTAGATCCCAAGTAGAACAGCAAAAGTAGTAATTTTGAGCTATGAAAGTGTACTTTGGGGGTTGTTAGCATCTATATTAAATGTAAACATTGTGGCCAGAAGAATCCTGGAAGTCTCTGGTTTTGCTTTGTTTATGAATAGTAGTGAATCTGGGGCAGTGCAAGCCTGGATGACAGCAGGCTGGGGTTCTGAGCAAACAACTGCAGGCATCGGTGTGCACAGCACCTGAAGAAAAGCAGGTTCAGGTATTACGGTTAGGATTGTCATGATTTTGTGCATAGGGCCCACGGCATCCTCTGAATCTGAGCATATGGGAGATTGGGGTGAGTGTATCACTGCTTCCTGTTGTGTGTCAGCAGGGTCGGGTGAAGACGATGCAGTGGACTGCTGCAGACAGGCCACATGGAGAATGGGCGAGTAGGAACGAAGAAAGAAATCTGCCTTTTGTACTTCCTTCCAAAAACCTATATAAGTGACGGGTAACCTCAAAAGGAGGCTGATGATTGAGAACTGAGACTCCCGTCATCCCCCTAGCATAATAAAGCTAAATGCCTGCTGAAGTTCCTTGGTGCTGTGTCTTCCCGCTAGCCTGATCCTAAGTTCCGTAGCACAGACAGTTCAGGCATCTTTGTTTTCATCCCTGAGGTTCTCCACATAAGTCTGTAGCAGCAAATCTGCATTATTGGTGGATTATTGGCCTCCGGAAACTTAAGTTTCCATAGTATTTAGTGGAACTGACTCAGCATAGCAAAGGAGAATAAAATGGAAATTAACCTTTTATAAGTCCTTAGGGATTCTTAAGACATTTTACATCCTCTGTTGGTCTTAAGAGAGAATACAAATAAAAGTGTTTAGCATGAAACAAATGGTATGCAGAAAGAAGAAATCCTTTGCTGTAAAATTAAGTTGAACTGCTTGAGCTTTAAGACACTAGTTCCAAAAACTTAGCAAACTCCTGAAGCATTGATAACTTGAGAACATGTTAGGATAAATAGATAAAGCTTGAATACTTTAACATGTACAATATGTACATGAGATAAATACTAGGAAAAAAGATCACAAAAGTTGTATGAGGAGGCTGGACATCTAGGCCATGAGAGGTAGTGGCTGAAGCTGGGAATCAATCACACGTGTGGGCCTAAGACAAAGCCCCTGGACAAGGGAGTTCCTCCAGTCATGTAAATGAGTTGTTCCAGCTTGCAAACTGGTTGCTAAGTAGAGGTTGAAATTGACATCAACCTCCTGAGTGTGTAGATGAGTTCTTGGGTGGTTCCTTTTTCACCCATCTGGAGAGAGGGCCCCACCTGAACTCAGCTTTGTCTCTTTTTTTTTTTTTTGTCTTTTTGAGACAGAGTCTCGCTATAGTGAACTCAAGCCCAGACTGGCCTGGAACTTGCAACAATCCTCCTGCCTCAGCCTCCCAAGGGGTGGGATTACAGGCGTGCGCCACCACGCCCAGCTCTATTTCTTGAACCTCTCGCCATTTTCCCCAAGGAATGTTGAGAGCTATGTGGGACTGGGACAGGGCCAAAAGTAACTGGTTATTCATCATTCACTGATTAAGAGTATATACATGGCTGGGCATGGTAGCGCACGCCTGTAATCCTAGCACTTGGGAGGCTGAGGCAGGAGGATCCTTGCAAGTTCAAGGCCAGCCTGAGCTACAGAGTGAGCTCAAGGCCAGCCTGAACTGCATGGTGAGACCCTGTCTCAAAAAGACAAAAAATAAAAAAAATAACAAAAGCTACAAGTTAGGCGTGATATTATTAGTGGAATTTGCTCCTGAGCAGTGTTATAGTTCTTGGATCATCTGTACCCAAGTCTTCTGGAGCACTTGTTACCTCAGACAGTGAAATGTCATTTCTGTGGAACTTACCAAAGAAAAGATAAGAACATAATTAATAATCCCATGAACTGTAACTTGCACAAAGGATGGCAGCCTCTGGCTAATCACATCAATTTACTTTCCCTCCTGTGGAGAAGAGTTGAGGGGAAGGAAAGGGGAAGACAAAATTTTCCCCTGCCGGCAACTACAGAATTGTAATCGTTGCTTACTCATGTGTTCACTACCACACAGAACCTCCTGGGGGCAGCCACATTTCACGCGGGAAAGTGAGGGGCCAGGCACACAGCAGTTGTGCCCGCGTGCTGTAAACACAGAGGACTCAAGTAGGGCTAGGAAGTGTAAGTATTTGAGGAAAATGTAAGTAAGTGGGCTAGTGGATTTTCAAAGAAAACTGGAATGGAAAACAGGTCAAAAAAGTAACTAGGGAAGGAGGTACAGACAGTATGAGTGAATGTGTAGATTTTTATATAAAAGTGCTACAAGGAACTTCTGTCCAACATGGGGCAAAAGGTGCAGACAAAAGGCACACTGACATGAACTGAAGGTGGGTCTCTGCATAGTTAAAGAAATTCTAGGTGGTGCCCGAGGCTTTCAGAGAAGTGTTCAGAACCTTTGCTCACAATTCTGATAGGATCTCTTGCTACTGCCAGTGCCCCTGACGTGAGCTCTGCTTGAATGAGGAAGGGGACGTAAAAGGCAGCATCGCTGCCGCTCTTCAAGGGTGGATTTAGAGTCAGTACTGTAAGGCGCTGTTTTTACAATTTTCAAGTTATTTTGTATTTATTGAGATGCACATTTAAAATGGATTTCCAAAACAAATGTTATCAGACCATTAGAAAGTATGATATTCCACATTAAATGCATGTAAAATGTAGTTTTTACACTTTTATGGTACAGTAACTGTCACTGAGTTATCTTAAACTACAGATTGAATCATACACATATAAAACACAGCAAGACAGTCCAATACAGTCCGTTCTACACGCTCTCACCATCAGCTTCCATCGCGCAGGTCCTGGCAGCTGCAGATACAGTAACCCCAGTGTTTACTGGGGACACTAGCCAGTAAACATACAAAAAGATTGTTTCAAGTTGCATATTACTTTCTTTGGTTTTAGTTTCTTAATCATTTAAAAACAACTACTAGCTGGACATGGTTGCACACACCTGTAATACCAGCACTCAGGAGGCTGATGCAGGAGGATCACCATGAGTTCAAGGTCAGCCTGAGCTACATAGTGAAAGTCTGTCTCAAAAAAGATAAGATTGTACAGATTAAGAAAATCAACTGACATAGGCACCAGTTTATCACAGCTCAAACTACAAACATTTTTTGAGACATAGCCCTCTCTCTTGCAGCTAAGGAAATAAATATTTCAGAGGTCTATACTCTTATATGCTTACCCCCTACAGGAGCAGTGAGCACATACAAGGAGAGATCTGCCTTCTGCCTCCATTGAATCCAATGTTCTATTTCTCAATTCATTAGGTTATGTAAATAAAATTGTGAGAAAAGACTGTTCTTGGCAAAACAAATTAGAATCTGTGTTCTAGTTTTGTCAAATCACACAAGAAAAATACAAGCATCAACTCATTCAGTAGGTCTTTATTGAGCATCTACAGGGGCATGTGAATTTAGGATCAATAATTTACATAGAAAATTATTGGCTTGCCCCCCCCTTTAAAAAAATGGTATCTTCTCTATGTATTTCAAGTGAATCATTTAATGTGAGGCTCAGTTTGATGTTAATATCCACATTAACAGAAGAAAAATGGGAATAAAAACATTTTCCTTTCTCCAAAAAGGGGTTTGGTGCCAGGATCAGCAAGCTGCTGGTCTAACAGCAGTTGATCACAAAGGCCTGAGACTCTGGAAGATGCTTATATCCTTGAAAGAACTGTCCTCAGAGAAATCATTCATTCCAAGAAGACAGCAGAACATCGAAAAATTAACTGGCTCAAAAATTATGCTAAGAAAAGTAGTCACAGCTTGGAATAAGTTCAAGAAGAGATGACACCAATTAACTGTAGCTAGACTGGTAATGCTGGTATTTCCCTGGAGTTGTGAGAGCACTGTCTAAGCAGAGGGCTGTGAGTCAATGCCCCCGTGAGCAGAGTGGTTTTAAGAACAGCTTCTCCAGTGCACCAACTGTGTTTTCAAGTATAATTCTGGTATTTATACCTAGAAATACAAGAGAAAAAGCAGCGAGAAGAAAGTGTCAAGTATACAGGACATGAAATGATATGGCAGCCCTAGAATTCCCAGGCTGGGCCTTGCTCCTCAGGAAAATCACACTCGGGCTCTGTCCTAAACACTGGCGGCAGTGCTGCTGATGGCTTGTTACAGGCAGGAGGCAACTGCAAAAGGATCGAGTCCTGACTTTCTTCCTTCATCTGTTAAAAAACAAATAAGGCTGTTATATAAATTCATCAGTTTATTAGCAATAAATCATTTTTAAATAAGCCATTTTAAACCTTGGTGCAGTGGTGTAAGCCTGTCATCTCAGCTACATGGGAGGATAAGACAAGAGGACTAGGTGAATCCGGCCTGGGTAAACTTACCAAGAGCCTCTCAAAACAGGGAAAAAAGGGAGAGGGAGGAAAGAAAGGAAGAGCAAGCAAATCATTTTTAAAGTGTTTAAAATTTTTTAAAAATTGTTTTAGGTATTTTCCCATCATCTGAAAACAAAAATTAAGAGCAAAACAAAGTGATTTTTATCAGAATTATTTTGTCCTCTCATTTCTAGACAATACAGAAAGTGTCTAAATAATCAAAATGTACACTGAAGATAAAATATACACTGAGCATTATTATACTGTGATAATGAAGTTTGTTTTTACTCATTTTGCAGAATGGAAATCTTTCAGAATCTATAATTGAACTAACAAAACAGCTTCTTTGCTTTTAACTCTATTTTGTAAGAAAGCTATTAGTAGGACTCTTAGTAAGCAAATCATCCCATTAAGCTAATAAAATAACTTTAATAGCTTTTGAAAACATCTTTGATAATAGATCCGCTTACCTGCTTGAAGAATACATGGGACAATAAACTGCTTGCAGATGGTCTGCAATTTTAAAAAGAATTATTAAAAGATAAACCTCATATGAGAATGTAGGCTTTCGTCACATATAACTATTAGAAATTAGGTTTATAGCTATAAAATCCAAAACTAAAAATTAAAAAGAAAGGTATGTCAGAAGCCCATTTTGTAGCTCCAAGCTTGACTTACAGGAAGAAGTAATCCTACATGTGTCCTTCAATTGCTCCGTACTCAGTGTTCATTGTAAAGAAAGCACATGTATCTTAACTATTTGGAAGGGATAATGCCAGCCACTAAGGTGCTAATAAAAGGTAAGATACACATACCTTCTTTCCAAAATACTGATGCTAATATAGCAATCTATAGCAATAATTTATATTAGTATAATAGAGACCATTTACATTTTTATGCTGCTGAGGAGTTTCTAAAATATCTTAAGTGCAGTAAGTAATGTCCAGAAAGAGTCATTTTTACAAGGTGCCGTGGCTGGGAAATAGTGTAGCCGAGACTGGACTTGACTCGTGATCTTGAATCCTGTGTTCCCGCTTACTCATCAGCTCTGCTTGTTCCCTAGCATCCATATTTTCTAGATCAGACTAACTTTTGATGGCAAATTGCCAAAGGTAGAATTTTATAGGACGAATGGTCTCACAAGGCTTCTATAAAGTATAAACTCTATATGTTTTGTGCTGTTTAGAGGCGACAAATACCTCTTCTCAGGATCTTGCTGCAGACAGAGCTGCACCAAGCTGAAGAAGGCGGGAGAGAAGGTTTTTGAGGGTGGCGTGTGCAGTCGGTCACTGTTGATGGTGTGAGCTGCACTGGAGACCAGCACACTTCCTCCAATCCCTGAGTCCATGCCTGACCGGGAAGTCTTCATTCTGGAGTCTGACTGAGGGAAAATACTAAGATCCCCTGGGCTATACGGAGGACCTTTCAGCTTCTGTAACAGCATCTAAGAGAAAAATCTCCTTCAACACTTGCGGACAAAGTATTAAACAATAATGACAGTAAGCACCAAAGAGTCTACATAAATAGGTTTATCGGAAGTTATACAGAATGTAAGAGGACCTCTAAAAGGCAAGTAGTTCATAGATTTTAGAAGCATTTACCTGAGTTCTATGAATGTCCTGAAAAGGTACCTGCCCACTGGCTAATTCACATGCTGTAATCCCAACACTATAAATATCCGACTTCACGTTATATCCATGTAAATCCTGTAAAACACAGTTAGTTCTTTGGTGTAAATAATTTAACAAAAAGTTACATATACATGCTGTTTTGATAAAGATGGCAAACGACAGTGGGGGGAAAAAACCCATAATCAAGATCTACCTAATATGTGGTTTACACTTTAATTTCTAACATAATTTTGACAAGACAAAGTCTTGCAGTAGGCCATCCACCAACCAAATGTAAGGACGCAACTGTCCTTTAGTCAAACTCAGAAGACACTCAAGACACAGACAACCCAAGGGCCACACCTGACCTGTCTCAGCAGTTCTGGACTCAGCCACGGCTGCACTGAAGTGCTGAACTGTGGGAACTCAAACACAGCCCTATGCCTCTGTCCATGCTTAACCAGACTATGCAGATGGGACAGGCCAGAGAGGGTCACCAGGCCATCACCAGAGAGGAGGATATGGCTGGCTTTAAAACTCCTAGAACAGAAAAAAACAACTGCAAGTACTAAGAATCTGGCCGATGAAGACAATAAAAGTCTGGTCATAATCAACCCATGTGTTCACTTGGAAATTAAATACCCCTTATAAAACAGCAGTGTGCCACATCCACTGCTACAGATACATAAGATGTCCAAGGAATTAAGGAATTCTTTCAGCTCCTTAAACAAGGGAAGGTGTAATTGAAAACTACATGTTCAGAGTTGGTAATTTTTTAAAATAAATAACCAAATTATTAGTTTCACTACTTTAGGGTGCTGTTGCAAAAATACCTAAGAATCCTAATGTAAGATTCAGTGCAATTCTATCCAATAAAAGCCTCTAGTGGTGTAATGTTATTCATAAAGATGTCACACAAAAATTTCCTTGTCAGATAAATTATAAAAAAGCTCTATTTCTTTCACCCAAACACTAACAGTGAACACCCAAATTTATGACACTAACAAAGCAGGAGAGCCAATCATCTACTAAGGTGAGGTGTAATAAAACCTCAGTTCATTAGAATATAATCTGCCTGAAATTCCAGCCACAACACTGGGAAAAAACAATAGGGAGACAAAAACCTTGAAGGAAACTGAAACAAAAAGGAAGGAGGTTTATTTATAAATAACAATGAAAAACCAAACCAAAATCCCAGTGTATTTTAGAAGAGCATTGCTTTTCATATTCAGCCAATTACTTCTGCATCTGTAGATTGGTTACAAGAGAACTGGTATTTAGTATGATTATCTCAAGGTGCTGGCCGGGCATGGTGGTGCACATCTGTAATCCCAGCACTCAGGAGGCTAAGGCAGGAGGATCATTGCGAGTTTGAGGCCAGTCTGAACTGCATAGTGAAACCCTGTCTCAGAAAGTCAAAAAGCAAAAACAAAACAAAACAAACAAAACCACAAAAAACCTCAAGGTGCTGCAATATATTTAAGAAATCAAAGAAAGATTAATTACAACCTGTGCAGTGTGTGTGGGTGTGTGTATTAGAAAGCACATAAAGAAACTATTTGCTTAAACAAAACAAAAATCCCAACTAACTAGGACGCTCTTCCTATAGCTGATACCTGAACACAGATTTTCTGCTCTCAGGACACTAAGACTGTGCCTGCAGGGCCAGGGCCTCCTCCCCCAGAACCAGGGACAGCGCCTGGCAGAGTGGCCGAGTATCTTTGGTGAATGAACATCTGCTATCTACTGGCTCCTTCCTCAATTCTTATTTATAAATGTCCTACCCTTCTCTCTCATACTCAGCTGCTCCTTCCTAGAAGCTCCCTAAAGAAGGCTTTCTTTCATTTTATGCCGTGGAAGTAAGGAAATACCGATGAATGCAGCCATTCCGGTGCAGATAGCTCAGCCCTTGCACTGCTCCAAAGAGAATGTTTCGTATTAGAGTTTCACTCATCCCTTCCGGAAAGTGTGTCCTCAAGAGCTCGCTTGCTGAACCTGAAAGAAACCACGGACATTTTAGAGGGACAAGGAAAGTAACCTTATTTCCACCAATGTTTTACATGTTCTTTCCAACCATGAGCACACACATATCTTATTCTTTGGAGCCTAGCCACTTTCTTGTGAAAAGTGATTTTCCTTGAATCTTTAAAAGGTTTTTTTTTTTGGCTGTGGGTGTAGTTCAGTGGTAGAGCACTTGCATAGCATGGTTGAGGGCCCACATCTGATGGCTAGAGCTACCAAAAAACAATTTTCTTTTTTCAGTACTCTTCTGAGATTAGGAAAGATAACACATTTTCAATATTACTAAATAAAATACATACTGTATATGCATATGAAAGTTTTTTTTAAATCCAGAAGCAAGCCGCACATGGTGCACACCTGTAATCCCAGCACTTGGGAGGCTGAGGCAGGAGGATCATTGTGAGTTCAAGACCAGCCTGGGCTACAAAGTTAGCTCAAGGCCTGCCTGAACTGCACAGCGAGACCCTGTGTCAAAAAGACAAAAAAAAAAAAAAAAAAACAGAAGCAGTTCACAAAGCCATTCTAAAGATTGCCTAGTACTAGGTGAGCACTTAGGGGCACCCTGACAGAAAATGGAAATGACCTCTGCCCTGTGGAAGGTCAGGTGAGGAGCTAGGCTCACAGTGCTGGTCACCAGCTCTGATCTACGGCATCAGTGTGCAGTAACAGGAAGCAGTGATGGTGGCGTGTGCAGGCAGAAACTGCTTCTGCCTGGACAACAGGCAGCCTCCCATGAAGAGAGGGGAGGGACACAAGGAGAGGAAATGACGTGTGCAAAGGCGTGGCATTCTTTCAAAGTCAGTGGTGATTTCACTGATCACCCATTCTCCTTTGCTCTACAGATGATAATCAATATGAACCAGATAAATGTATCATGAAATCTAGAATCTCCCACTGGATTTATAAATTAAAAGTAGCAAGTCCTCATCTTTATAATGACAGTATCCAGGCTAAACTATGAATTATTTTATTTAAAACCAGTTTTCTTACCATAGGCCATAAATGGAGAAATAACCCAAAGCCAGCTGCCAACAGTGAAAACTGTCCAGTAAGTTGTAATATTGGGGTGCCGGAAAAAGTGGGATAGAATCACTGCTCTCTAGGAGAAACAACAAAACCATTTAAAACACCTTTTTTCCTTATGAAGAAGACAACAGAAATAGTGGCAGCTGATGATACTCGAAAGCGTGGAGTAGTACTAGGATGGTTCTCACTGCTTTTAGCTCTTTAACTCTCGAGCCATGCCATGAAATATGGAATGCTAGGATCCCTACCTGATAGAAAGTAACACTTAAAAATAAGTTTAAACTAGGCATGGTGGCACACGCCTATAACTCCAGCACTCAGGAGGTTGAGACAGGAGGATCACCATGAGTTCCAGGCCAGCCTGGGCTACGCAGTGAGAACCTATCTCAAACAAGCACACAAACTAAAGTTCAAAAATGTGTCCAAAAATACATAAGGGAAGTAGAAGCAGATGTGAATTTAGTCTGATTCCAGAGGGCATATTCCTGGAAACTATACTACGTTCCAGCTGTAGAAACATCTAAAACCATACTAAAACACTTCTAGCACGTCACAGAACCTCTGTTAACACTGTGGTATCATTTCTTCTATTCTTTTTTTTCCTAGGCAATATATGTGCACAGAGAAATATTCTAAAAATTAGGAGAACTTTTATGTTAAAAATTTTTCCCTTATGTCAAAAATATTGACAATGAAATTGATATTATAATATGCCTGAAATGTAATTCTGTTAAAATTTACCACTTTGGAAGTGAGTTCTGATTAACTAGATGGAAAGGAAACTGCTTCTGTTTCCAGTTTCCTGTCTGTGATGGGACTGAGTTGGGTGCTGGGGATCTCCAGACCAACACTGCTGAGCATGACACTTACTGGAAGCGTTAGTATTAGGCTGAGCATGACACTTACTGGAAGGGTTAGCATTAGGCTGAGCATGACACTTACTGGAAGGGTTAGTATTAGGCTGAGCATGACACTTACTGGAAGGGTTAGTATTAGGCTGAGCATGATACTTACTTGAAGGGTTAGTATTAGGCTGAGCATGACACTTACTGGAAGGGTTAGTATTAGCCACCGAGCTTTGAATGCATTTGTTCTTTCATACAGTTTGTGCTTATACGGCTTCCAAATATTACAATTTGGTAAACTACGTGTTAGACAGAAAAATATCTTTTTCTAACAGAAAGAACTTTTAATTTGGGGAAGGAAAATTCTTACAGATAGAAACTCTTCAAATAGACATTACATTAAATAAATCCTTTTCTTTGTATTATTACCTGTAAAGCTTTCAGGCGCTCTTCTGTGAGGTTCTCCAGATTAGTAATTTTTATAGTCACCAGTGTTCCTGTAGGAATATGCCGCGCAAGATGGACAGAGGTCAGGTTGTCAAAACCTCTTCCTGTTAGCAGACATAAAACATGTCAGTAACCACGGAGGAAAAGAATCGACATTGGGTATTTAATCAAAACTAAAAACTCTTGCTCTTCAACAAACATTTTTTAAAAAATGAAAAGGCAAGTTTTGACTGAAAACATTAACAATACTTGTGCCTGATAAGATGTCCATAAAGATTTTTATAACTCTGTAAGATGACAAGCAATCCAATCAGAACCAGACAGGAGGGGCAGTAAGGTACACCTGTAGTCCAGAGACTCAGGGGGCCAAGGTGGGAGGATTGTTTGAGCCCAGGAGTTCAAGGCCAGCCTGGGCCACATAGTAAGAACTCCTCTCACCAAAACAAACAAAAACAGGCAGAGGATCAAACAGGCAACCCCCAAAATAAGGTGTGGGAATGGCCAATATGCAAATGGAAAGATGCTCAAAACAGAAACACAAATAAAACAATGCCATACCATTACATATTGATTATAATGGACAAAATAGTGACATGATGAGCAAATTGTGATACAGCCCAACAATGGAATGCATTGGTGGGAGTGAAGACTATTGCAGCCACTGTGGAAATCAGTGTGGAGATTTGTCAAAAAACTAGGATTAGAGGTCCCATTCAACCGAGTTATTCCCCTTTTGGATATTTTCCAAGAAGAAATGAAAATATCCTACCATAGCGAGATATATGCACCCATGTTTACAGCAGCACTATTTGTAATAGCTAAATCTTGGAAACAATCCAAATGTCCATCAACTGAGGAATGGATAAAAAAGATGTGGTATTTTTATACAATGGAGTACTACTCAGCTATAAAGAAAGATAAAATCAGCTATAAAGAAAGATAAAATTAAGGCTTTTAAATTTTTGTGCCTACATTCAAACTCAGGACCTTGAGCTTGCCAGGCAGGTGCTGTGCTGCTGAGCTAAATCCCCAGCCAACTTGAGGCTATTGTAAGTAAATGGATACAACTAGAGACCACACTTAAATGAAATAAATCAGACTTGCACATATAAACATCATATTGTCTCCCTAGTGTAAGAAACTGAAAGAGTAAATAAGATCCAAAAGGTACAATAGATATAGTGAAAGGAAAGAAACCGCTCACAAAGAAAGAACAACTGGGATAGGGGAAATGAGAAAGGGAAAAAAAGAGATATGTATATATACACAAGATAGCTAAGGTAATTGCATTGTATTACTAATTTCTATTAGTTCATTGAAAGGAACAGTTAAGTGCTTGTATTGTTTGATCAATTTTGCATGCTTGCACCTGGTAATCTGAGCAACTACTTTGAAGATAACAATATGCAATGTAATAACCATTGCTAATTTCCTAAAAAAAAAAAAAAAAAAGGAATGTTGTTCAGCTACGCCCAGTCCTTGGGAACTACTGATCTGATGCGTGCTTGTCCTATGAACAGCATCTTTTTTTCATCTTTTACTCCCTTCCCCCGCAAGGCAGGGTTTCACTATGCAGTTTAGGCTGGACCTGAACTCACTCTACTGCCCAGGCTGGCCTCAAACCTGCAATGATTCTCCTGCCCCAGCCTCCTGAGTGCTGGGATTACAGGTGTATGCCACCACACCCAGCTTATAAATGGTATCAAAAAGGATATAGTCTTGTGTGTTTTGCTTCATTCACTTAGTAATAATGCTTCTGGGATCTATCCACATTGTATGTAACAGAAATTATTTTCCTATTGTTGGATAATAATCTTTTATACAGATACAACACAATTTATCCATTCATAGGTTGGCAGATATTTGAACGGCTTTCACTTTTTTGATGATTAAAAATAAAGCTGTCACAAACGTTCTTGCACAGGTCTTTACGAAGACACGTCTTCCCTTTGGGGAACACCTGAGGTTGCCGGGTCGTGTCGTAAACACGTTTGTTTCCCACGGCGGCTGCCATCTTGCACTCTGCAGTGTATGAGAGCTGCAGTTGCTCGGCACATGCACCGAGAACTAGTGCTGTCTGCTTTAAGGTGTGAAACTAGAGCAGAACCTTGAACAGGCACCTGCTTACTATCATTCCCTCTTCTCCAGGTACCAAATCCTGCCCATTTGGTCTTTGAAAGCAAGTGAATCTCCAGCTTATCTCCTCCTCTGTAGCTCCATGTCCCTCCTCAAAGTCCTCCTCTCTCTCTGGACACACAGTGACTTCCTCATTATAGCCTGCATTCCCACCAGAATGAGAGGAAACTTCTTCAAAATGCCCATGCCTAGCCTCCACTCCCCAGAAGTTTTGGCTTTGTTTTTTAAGACAGGGTCTCACTATATAGTTCAGGCTGGCCTTGCACTCACTATGTAGCCCTGGCTGGTCTTGAACTTGAAGGAATCCTCCTGCCTCAGCCTCCTGAGTGCTGGGATTATAGGTGTATGTCACTGCACCCATTGCTCTCTAGAAATTTTAATCCAGTGGGTCTGTAATAAAATATAATTATTGTAATTTCCTAAAAGACAGGTAACAAGAATGAGTCTTCTTTCTTCTTGTGAATCACTGATCTACCGTATCTTCCAGACTGCTGCCAGAGTTGTGCTAAACTTGGCAATCTGTCACCAGGTGGTGTTCACCAGCTGGTGATGGAGACTGACATTGATCCAGATCCAGCTGTGTGACTGTCCCAGAGCCTGAGTACCCTCATCTGCAGAACGGGAGGTAAAGGAAGAAAAGACGCATTACTGTCCCACTTGCTGCCTGCCGGATGCTGCCGTCGCCGCTGTCACTATCAACACCCTCCTGGTGTAGAGAGGGTGGGTTCCGAACGTCTGACTAACCCTTTAGGACACGGGGAAGAGGTGGGGCCGACTCCGGGCGGTTCCCAGTGTGTCCGGCTCGGGCCTTTCCTGCCCCAGCCATGGCCCACGCTTCCCTCGTCCCTGCCTGTGCTCACAGAGGAGCAATGCAATGACCTTCTCCATCTAACAACCCTTGCGTGTTCACTGAGGTAAACTTTTTGAAACCTTTTTTGGAGCAGCACCATCTGAACTGCCTTCCTGATTCTGGGGACTCTGTCAGCAGGGAAGCTTCAGGAAAGCTCAGACCCTCGTTCTGCCTTGGTCCCCTTGACCCTGGCATGTGCCCATGCGTGGCCAGGTGGCCGCAGGTACGAGAGACAGAGGCGGTGTTTCTGTGGTAGAGGACTGACTGCTTGGGGCACCGACGGGGTCTCCTGCCCACTCAGCCTCTCTGGGTTTCCTCCACGCCTGCTTCTCAAGCCAATTCTGTGAGTCTGTAGTGCTGTTCAAGAACTTTTATTTTTAAATTTTTTTGTGCTTACATTAGCCAGGATAATTTTCTGTTGTTTGTAACAAAAAAGTGACTGGACTATTTAGCAAACATTCCTCTTACTGAGGAGCCAGACTCTGCCATTTTCCTTGACTCTCAGAAGAAACTCGCTGTGGTCTCTGCTCCCGTAACCTCAGCACACACCTCTACCACACTCCCTTCTGCTGTCCTGTGTTCCCCTCCCTGAGAGGATGCGAGGCCCCAGCATCCACCAGCCTCTGGCCTGCAGAGTCGAGCAGAGGTTTCTGAATGTTCAAAGCAAATGTGTCACATAGAGAGCTATAAATAATAACTCATGCCACACTTAACTGAGAAAGGCTTCTACAACAAATGGAATTTTAGGTAAAATTTCAAATTAGGAAGTAATGTGGTCAAAGGCCTGTGACTGTAAAGACGTAGACAATGCAAGCCGGGTGTGATGGCCCATGCCTCCAGTCCCAGCTACTCAGGAGGCCGCTGAGGAGAGAGGAGCAGTTGAGCCCAGGAGTTCAAGACCAGACCGGGCTGTGTCGGGAGACCCCATCTCAAAAAAACACAGAACTACCTGATGAGATCTTAATTCATATCCAGTGTTAAATATACCCATAAATCCAGCAGCTTTCCACAATACATAAATAATAAGTATTTAGATTAGTGTGTTCCTTCTCTAAATGTACTTCAGTGTAAAAATAAAACTTCTATAGCGTAATCTTTAAAAAATCTGGGCCATTATCTTAAAATAGATATAAAATTAATTCAAACACCTGACACAGTGACACCAATTCTGTGCTGTAGGCGATAACAGAAGAAGACTTGCCTGTGAAATAATCTTTTCTGCATCAATTTTATTTCTAGCAATGAAAAGTTAGTGGAATCCAGAGTTGTTACCTATTTCCACTTGCAGTTCATAGTTAGAAACATCGGTGGAGCGCATCACCTCACTGGCTCGAGGTGGGGGTGACCAGGGAAGGGTGGGCTCATCAGCCTGCATTTTACGAGATGAAGACAGAATGGGTATAAACATCTTCAGCCACCCCATCTGCCCCGCCCCCCAGCGTGAGAGACTGATTCTGTATTTTCAGACACACAGGGGCCCCCCAGGGAGGCACTGGGGGTGCTGAAGGGACTGTCTTAAGAGCCCAGAGACATGTGCCAAGTACTGACTGATACTGGAAAGCCATCAGCCTAGGAACAGGGAAAGGGCAGGAACAGCACACGTACAAACAGCAAGGAGTGATTCCCAGCTCAATTCCCAGGAAAATGTCTAGAAGCTGCTAAGAATGGCTGACGATTTAGGGCCCTAAAAAATGTGTCAGGGAAGAGCCGCAGGGGCGGATCACATATTCTATACTGTGGTCTCTGCAATCCTTTCTCCTCCTCAGGCAAGCACTGCCAGGGAGGCTCCCTGGTGAGGGCACAATGCCCACACTGCACCTACTAACCTTGCTGGGGAAGCTTCACGACATGGAATGGATAAAAATGGGGGTCAGAGAAAAACGTAACCCCATGGAGGATGGGTTCGGCGTGCAGACTTCCTAAGAGAAGGGCCGCGTCCCAAGACCAGGTCTCGTGGGTGCCTGGGGCCAGAGGCAGGCTTGCACCTAAATATAGTGGCAGTGAAAGGGGGCGGGGGTAAGAGGCCTAAGCTGCTGGCATTGTGACAGCATGAAGACGTCCTGAGGGACACTCGGCAGCCTTTACAGGCACTAGCAGGTGGCAGGAATCTTGTCACTGCCTCCAAGTGGGGGAAGACAGAGGAGAAAAATTACACTACTATGTGCTAGGAATTGTGCTAAGTACTTTTCACACCCTTGACCCCTTAATCAGGAGAAAGAGATGGAGTGTGAAACAGACAGATGTGTTCATGGAGACAGTGGCAGACATGGTCCCTAAACTTCTCTGAAAGCAGAAAAAACCATCCTGAGCCCATGCCTAAAGACGAGTAAAGGTGAACATACTCCAAGAGGAACGAAAGGTGCTCTCAACCGCAGCCTGTCCGGAAGGCTAGAGATGCAATACACCGAGGCTCATGGCTCACTGCTTGCATGACAGCAGTGCCTGAAGGGCTCAATCTCAGCTCATCAGCTTCTGTTTTTGTTCCCATCTACTGCGTGAGATGGAAAGTTACCTTTAAACTACAAGGGACAATGTACAGTTTGGATCTGAAATGTCCCCCGGAGGCCACATGCTTAAAGGCCTGGCTTCCAGCTGTGGAGTTGCTCCGAGGCAGTGTGGTCCTGGTGAGGTGGAGCCTTGGTGGAAAAACAGGTCCCTGGCATGCTCCTTGTCGCCACCATCTGCCCTCGTCTGCCTCCTCCTATCCTCCCTGATGTGAGCCAGTCTGCTCCCATGCACTCCCCACCATAATGTGCCACCTAACCAAGAGTCCAGCACAATGGACCAGGTGACCATGGACTGAGACCTCCGAAATTGTGGGCCAAAATAAACATTTCCTCCTTTAAGTTGATTTGCCCTAGTATTTGGTCACAGCAACAGAAAGCTAACACAGGGGCTGGGGATTTAGCTCAGCGGCAAAGCGCCTGCCTGGCAAGTGCAAGGTCGTGAGTTCAGTTCCCGGTACCGGAGAAAAACCAAAAAAAGACAAAAAAAAAAAAGAAAGCTAACACAGACATGTATATTGTAAACTAAGTGCTCAGTGCACCAAACAGGTGCTTTTAAATAGGTTCAAACCTCTAACTCAAGGGCAATTACAATTTGGATGTTAAATTTGCAGATACAGTAATTCTTAGATCAGAAACCAGTTAAATATTAACTGGAAATAGTCAAATTTTGACCCAGTTTTCAAAAAGGGAGAAAACTACCGAGTGGCAAGACTGACCTAACTCTAGTAACAGAGTTAGCGCCTTAAAACAGTACGTGAAACAACTCCCTAAAAACAGCTCCAACCTGGAGGCTGGAAGAAGCTTCCACAGTTCTCCCGTCTCAGTGGCGGCATAAGACCACAGCAGTGGCTGCTGAACCGCCTCCACCCCGAAGGTATTACTGGAGCCAGAACTCAGTTGCATATAGCCTCCTACTGCACAGCAGGGGTGGCCCTCAGAAGGCTTTGGAGTCTGAGGGAGTAAAAGAAATGAAAACAACTGAAGACAGGACTGGGGTCAATTACAAGCAAGATTTGCTGGGATTACCTCATTTTTCATCAAGTTTTGCAAATTCCATTTTGTAGCAAAAACTGCAACATAAAGTAAGGATTAAGAGAAAGAAAAGATCCCAGAAAAGTATTTATTATGTTCCTTTAAATATTATTTAATGTCTCAGGCACTGCCCTGGGAAAATAAAGGTGAATAAAACAGGTGCCTCTTTACGGGTATCGCATCATGGTTAAAGAGAAATATACATTAGTCATTGTGAAATAATCTAGAAAGAACAATTTATGGGAATGCCTAAAACAGGTGGGGTATTGTGGAATAGCAAGTATAAGTGGGAAGATTTCACAGATGTGCTATATGAACCACTTCTCTATGAACGAGGAAGAATTTCATAAGGAGAAAAAGAAGTAGGGTATTTCAAGCAAATAAGAGTATGTGCTGCTGGGTGTGGTGCACACGCCTGTAATCCCAGCACTTGGTAAGCTGTAGCACCAGAGTTGCTACAAATTCTAGGCCAGGCTAGGCTACAAAGTGAATTCAAGGCCAGCCTGAACTGCATAGTGAAACCCTATCTCTTTTTTTTTTTTTTTTTGGTTTTTCTCCGGTACCGGGAACCGAACTCACGACCTTGCGCTTGCCAGGCAGGCGCTTTTGCCGCTGAGATAAATCCCCAGCCCCTGAAACCCTATCTCAAAAAGACAAAAAAAAAAAAGTATATGCTAAGACCAAAGAAATAAAATTCAAGCATATGCCACAGCATTAAGAATCCTTACGTAAGGCTGGGCATGGTGGCACACCTTTAATCCCTGCACTCAGGAGGCTGAGGCAGGAGGATCTTTGCAAGTCCAAGGCCAGCCTGGGCTACAAAGTGCACTCAAGGCCAGCCTGAACTGCATTGCAAGACCCTGTCTCAAAAAGAAAAAAAAAAAGAAAAAAAAGAATCTTTATATAATCGATTCTCAGCCTTTTGGCTAAGATCAAGTGAAGAATCCTTCTATAATGCTACGAAGTTTAGACTTTACTCATAGGCTTCAGGAAGCCAATGGAAGTTTCCAAGCTGGAAAGTTGCACCTGCAGGGCTGCCAACTACTAAATGCTGATGTGAGTGGTGGGAAAGGACTAGTGTGTGTCTGGGAGACTACAGGCAAAAGTCTGCCCGCACCAGGCCCAGTGCCAGACGCAGAGACAGGACTCAGGGAAGGAGGGCTGGGGAGATGGACTCCTGGGAGCTGGTAACTGTACATGGGGCAGGGTAGAAGCAGGGCAAGCATAGCTCGAAGTCTCTAGTTAGGATGACTTAGTAGATGGGACCTCATTAGCCATGGCAGGAAATACAAGGGGTTGGTGAGAGCAGACTAAGGTTTTATTCAAACTTAGTAGAGGCACCTTTGAAAAATTAAACAGATGTGTACTATCAGCACTTCTGCTGCCCAGGAAAGGTCTGGGATTGCAGGTAGCAATCCCAAAGTCATCTGTTCACTTGATGCCAGGCACCCCACTTCCCCCCAGGGCACCCACGGCAGATCCAAGACAATCTGAAACCTAAGCAACCACAGAACCAGGTGAGACTGCTCAGGGAACTTTGGTTTAGGAAGGAGGGGAGGTCAAGCATTAGAACAGAGAGCAGGAGGAGGGGAAGAAACACTAAAAGGCACTACCAAGCAGAAGAGCTGTAAGAGACCCAGGAGTGAAGGCAACTGCAGAAGGCCAGAGAGGAGCGCTGACTGCTCAACCATTTCTTACCACACATGGCTGAACACTGCTTTCAGACTGTTGCTCAGGTCTGAGGGACTCAACTTGTGTTCGTGAAGTACAGAAGCAATCCTGGAATCAGAAGTGCATAAAGTAAGCGGCAGGCAGGGCAGGTAGGCAGGAGCGGCCTGGAGACGGGTTAGGAACCCGAAGGAGCCTAGATTGGAAGCCGGGGTCCATACCACGGAGGCGCCCCGTGCAGAAGGGAAGGGAGAAGGAGCTGGGTGTGAAGAGACAAACTTCACACTGCTTAGAATTGTTGGTGCGACCTCTAACCCTTGTCCCCTTCCTTTCTTTTTCTGTTTTTTGGTTTTTCTGAGACAGGATCTCACTATGTAGCTCTGGCTGGCCTTGAGTTCCTGGAAGCCTTCCCACCTCAGCCTCTCAAGTGTTGGGATTATACATGTGTGCCACTAAGCCTGGCTCAAATGAGTCTCTTAAAGCCCATCCATGTATCTTCTTAACATTTTATATGTAGTTACTTGAAAGTAATCAAACTTGCTATCTCTAAAAATGTCAGCATCTTCCTTTTATTTATTTATTTTTGTCTTTTCAAGACAGGGTCTCGCTATGCAGTTCAAGTTGGCCTTGAGCTCACTTTGTAGCCTAGGCTAGTCTCAAACTTGCAACAATCCTCCTGCCTCAGCCTCCCAAGTGCTGGGATTACAGGTGTGCACCACTACACCCAGTAAATTTTTATTTATTTATTTATTTTGGTCTTTTGAGACAGGGACCATCTTCCTTTTTCCTTCTTTTTTTTTGTTTTGTGAGATGGAGTCTCTCTAAGTTGCCTAGGCTGGCCTTTAACTCAGCCCACTGCCTCAGCCTCCTAAGTAAATGAGATTATGTGTGTGCCCCCATGCTGACTCAGAAGTTCTCAAAATCAAATTGTGATTTTCCCAGTTAGCCTAATTTACTGATTATTTTAAGCTGAATTCAGCCCTTTGAATACCAGGATCCTCACTTGTCAAATAAAAGGATTAAACTAATTGGTCTTTTATATTTTCTCCAATTTATAGGCTGATATGAAAGTGAAAATTTAGGCCAGGCATGGTAGCACACACCTGTAATCCCAGCACTCAGGAGGCTGAGGCAGGAGGATACCTATGAGTTTGAGGCAAGCCTAGGCTACACAGTGAGTTCCAGGCCAGCCTGAACTACATAGTGAGACCCTGTCTCAAAAAAAGAGAAAGTGAAAATCTTAAATAATCCTTTAGACCAGTGTCACCAAATTATGGCCCAGAAGCCACCACTTGTCTTTGTGAATGAAGTTCAACTGGAACTCTCACTCTCTTGTGTTGGTTTACATAGCCTATGGCTACTTTCATGCAGAAATTATATGATATGCAAACACCCTGTGGCCTTTACAGGAAGTTACCTGATCCCTGCTTTAGAGACTGAGGTATTTCACTTCAGTGTGTGTCCCGCATATACATATAAAGAACATATGCTGTGCCAGGCGTGGTGGCACACACATGTAATCCCAGCACTCAGGAGGCTGATGTAGGAGAATCATTGCAAGTTTGAGACCAGCCTGGGCTATGAAGTGAATTCAAGACCAGCCTGAACTGCATAGGGAAACCCTGTCTCAAAAAGACTGAAAAACAAAACAAAACAAAACAAACAAAAACAAAAATAGAACACATGCTGTGTGTCTTCCATAAAGCAGCACACTCCTACCTTCATATTTCTGTTAGCCTTGGCGATGGCTGGGATAGATGGACAGAGATGAGCTCGAATTCCTGGCTCCAATTCTCGGCAATCATGGGCAAACTCCAACATGAGGGTGATGCCACATGCTCTGACAATCTCACACAATCTTAAAGACCGAGATCACTGTCTTGACGTGAGAATTTCCTACTCAAATGTTATACTGCATACAAAATGGAGTGAAAGCCCTCAAGCTACTTTATCTAAAGCAGTTATCACTGCTCTATCGTAAACAAAAAATAAGTTGGCATCTGAACCTTATATAACACATTGATCAAAATATTTTTGTCTAATTAAGACAATGGGCTTATTAGTGCTATCTTGCTTTTTTTAATGAGACAGAAATTTATAAAAGGGGTTTTTGGACATGTGCAGCATGGCTAACAGGAATGGACTGGCATCTAAGCACAACATATATATGAGAAAACATGGGCATGGACAGTGGATAAAAATGACGATATATCCAAGTACAAGAGAAACTCTTTTTTTTTTTTTTGGTCTTTTTGAGACAGGGTCTCACTCTGCAGTTCAGGCTGGCCTTGAGCTCACTTTGTAGCCCAGGCTGGTCTCGAACTCGCAACGATCCTCCTGCCTCAGCCCCCTGAGTTCTGGGATTACAGGTGTGCGCCACCATCCCTGGCTAAGAGAAACTCTTGAAAGAGACAAAAGCTCACTGAGAATTTAACCCATTTCTTAGGACCACAAATCATTCAGGACAAAATATCTCTGAGCAAAACAACAGCTTATCAGAATGTCTTGTGACAGTTCTGAATACCTACATCAAGATCAGATCCATATCAACAGGAACTTACCAAGAGAGACATTGAATCGCTTTAGCTCATAGAAAGTAACTAAGATCCATCTATTTCAAAGATTTTTACTTCATCTTCAAGATGCAGAAATATCCTACCATAGAGAACAAAGCAATGTTACTTTTACATAAACATCTTGAAGAACTAGTTGCTATTAACCCACCAAAATTTAGGCAACTATCCCTGGACACAAGGACAACAGATATTTCTGAGAAGCATCCTGTAAAGCACTTCCTTTTACTGAGCACTACCTGGGATCTAACGTCACTACAGAGTGCCAGACTGGAAGGCTCCGTGTATTTTCAAAGCTTCAATCTATTTACCTCTCTTTCCCTACCTGTTTTGGAATATTCTTTAAGAGAAGCCTGAGTAAACTGGGGAGCAACATTCATCAGTTTTGACCTACTTTTGATATAAATGGTGCTGCTTACATGGAAAACAAACTCTAAGAACTTCTACAGCTTTCTGGTTGGATTAACCAACTATTAAGATATTTGAGTTCCCTGGGCAACACACTTGCAGAAGAATCAGGATTAGTAATGGGATAGTAATTAGTGTTGTCTTGTTGCCAAATGTTTAGGAAAATAAAAGACAACTTTTTATATAAAAATGTAACTTTTTTGTAGTTTAAATTGTTTTATCTTATGATTTTTTTAGTTCTCTGTTTTTGAAATTTACTGATAGATATCAGAGATGCATAAATTACTGTGCAAATAGTTCTTGTCCATTTTCAGAAAGTATTAATCTCAATGTAGTATATGTGAAGATTCTGCAACTTCTTCAGATTCAAGAAGATACAAAACCAGCACCAAAGGTGTCCAGACTTTCACGAACAGAAGGGGTGCCAGTATTCTAAATTTGCTGGTGCCTATTGTCCCCTTCTAAATAATACCATTTCTTTCATCTAAATTGTTCATTATTTTGTCTTAATGAGGTCCCCAAGGCATCTACAAATATATGAGCAAGATGACAAAGAAAGATTTTGCAAACCAGGAAAGTATAGAACAGTATTCAATTTTTTTTGCTAAGGAAAGAGTTTTCTCAGGATGTTCACTGTGAACGAAAGGTAGAGAACAGGAGGAAGAACTTGAAAGGTTCATTTTGCCACCTGTAAACTGCTACTATCAAGTTAAGTCACTGGAGTTTGTGTGCCACAGAAGTGGGAAGTCAGTGCCCGGCCTACCTACCTTCCAGATCCTTGTCTGAAAGTGTTCCTGACTACCAAGCACTGTTTGGTACACAGAGGTTAAGACTGAGAGGCTGCACTGCAAGCCTCACACACAGTGCGGGCAGGGCAAAAAGAGCTCTTTGGGAAGCAGGTTGGCAATGTTTTGATAACCATGAAAGCATGCAGACCCTTTGTCCCAGTAGAATTCCCACTTCTAGTAATCTACTCCAAGGAGACGGCCAAGGAAGGGAAGAAACCGCACACACACTCCCATGACCCAGCCACCTGTAACAGCCAAGAATTCATTGCACACGTGTGTAAGGCATGACCACCGCGGATTAGCCCTGTGCTGGGCACCGGGACACCCACTGGAATCGAAGGCAGACAAGGCCCTGAGCACTGGCAGCTGACCTTCCTAAGGGCAGAAAGGTTAGAGCTGTCCTGAGTAACTGAATTTTCGAGTTATTATTGTTTTGGATCCTACTTTCTTCACCTAACAACAGTCAGTGGTTACCAATTCTGTTTCTTAAACAACACATTTTGAAAGTCCATTACTGTACTGCTTTTCAGAAAGACCCCAAAGTGCACAAGCTGTCACAATCGTTAGCACTGAAAGGGCTGTCCCCATAGGGCAGTTTAATCCCAAGTGTTTTTGCCTTAGATACACCAAACTGTTAAGAGATAATTTTATAAGACAGTGTGAGGTCAAGGGCACAGCAGCTCCTGCAAAGGAGCGGGGTGGGAGCCTCGCCGTCACTTTTCTCCCGCATGCCTTTTATTTAGGTATGAACGCAAACCCTTCCGTAAAACGTCGACTTTAGAGACCTGCGCCTCAGTATTCTCAAGTACCCCAAGCCCTCTGCACGGGCACCTAAAAAGCGAACCACAATCAGCTTCATGAGCAACACGCCTGCTCTCTGACAGAACGGCTCACCGGGACCGCTCGTCCGAAAGCTCACTTCCCTGCAAACCTAAGGGCAAGTCCTGCACAGAACTCGGGTTCTGATCGCCTCGCAGGTCCAGCGGAGGCCAACGTTACGGGAACGCCGAGAACCCGACTGACTTCTCTTTGTTGAGCTTCAAAATCACTGTAATTTTCCAAGTGATCTTGGGGTTCCATAAAATCTTTCCGACAGCGACGGCAGCGCGGCAGCTTTCCCACCCCGGCTCTCACCCCGCAGGGTC